AGGAAATATAGTTATTATGATTGATTATCAAATATTCACTCTTAGTTATAGAAGGAAAGATTTGCGCCGAGAAGGTAGGTGGTCATTTTCGAGGTCAATAGTACATATGAAAGTCAACTCATTAATCTAATGCAATATCCAAATATTTCAATCGGGTTGAAATTGACATTTATAAACCGACCCGAAATGTTTAGTTACATTTATGACCTTATTTAACCTCATCGAAAATATGTGTTTAATTAGACTTTAAGGGCAAACAAAGGAAAAAAAAAAGTCTAACATAGGTGGTCAAAAAAAAGGTTGCAAAAATAATAAGATAGATATTATCATGATTATTTATTAGATTAATATGATAACATACTATATATTTCTATAAATATACTTTTATCTAGCTAACACATTTATTATATTATATAATATATCATTTAACGAGTTATATATAAGATTACAATATATTAGTTATATCCAATAAGATTTTTCTTCTCAACTACCTTACACATTTTCATATTTTATCAAAAAACCAACCATCGTTTATTACATGTATATAAAATGAGATATGCTAACATTATAGTTTTGTTGTTCATTTAATTGTTATCGAATTAGTTGATAGGTAAAAAAAAAAGTGTTAAAGAGAGAGGGAGTCGCGGGCGCGTGGATCTCACTCGCGGCGATTTTTCTCTCCAACAAGTTTCTTCTTCTGACCAAAATCTTGTGCGTCGTCGTCGGGGTTTTCCGTTCATTCCGGTGACGATGAGAGCCCCATGGCTCATGGTTCTTCATCTGTAATCTGCTGCATCATTCTAAGCAAATCAATATGACCAAATCCAAGAGAGATGTGGAGAGGAGAAGCTTCTGTGAGACATCGGCGGTTTGATCTACCGGTGATGTAGCGACGCGGATTAGAAGAGCGAGATTCACAGAAAAGAAAGAAAAAGGATAGTGGTTAGATCTGAAGATTGAAGATTCTGGAGGTTTTACGGCGTGTTTGTTCGATGGGGGAGATTGTCTGCGGCTAGGTAAAGCTAAGCCACCGTTGGAAGTCTCTAGATCTACTCCCTACTGCTATTTCTCTTTCACTTCTGAGATTGGATCTGCTCGACAAAGACAAGCTTGTTTTTCTTCTTCCTCCTCAAAACGGTTCTACGGTGGCGGGATGGCAGCAGATCCACCATCTCCGTTCGGCTTTCGTTGTCCAGGCTCCCGGAAGCCATGGTCCGGTGAGGATTCGCGGTTCTTGGGCGGCGGCTCTGGTTGTGTTGTACAATCAGAGATTAGAGTTTTGTGTAACTGGTTTAGTTCGGTTCATAAAATCGGGTCGGGTTTGGTTTATTATTTGGTTTGGTTTGTTGTATGTGGATTGAGCCCTTTGGGATTGTAATGGGCCTAAATCCGGAAATAGACCATTGGGCACCTATTTATAAAAGTTTGCAAGCCTGTTTCAAAAAAAAAAAAAAGAATTAGTTGATAGGTCACATGAATGTGTGAATAGTACCCTCGTCGCCCACCTAATCTATATTAACATTTTTGAAGTACCTTTTGTGTTCTACCCTTTTATTTTGTAATATTTTCATAATTAAACCTTTGCCATTTGATTAAATAGAAAAAGTTTAAGATAAGTTTTGTAATTAAATCATAATAAAATTGCAAAATTAGAAATCAATATTTATTACATTTAACAAAATTTCCTAAAATATCTCCCTAATAAATCAAAGATTTCTCCAACATCTTTATATGGTCTTATTTGTTTCTAAATTTATATTATTATATAAAAATATGTATGATAAAAATATTTTTTTTTTTGGCATATGTTGCAATTTGAATTTTTAGAAACGGATGTATATTACTCAAACGATACAAAAAATGGATGTACTAAAATATTATGGATAATCGTGTAGCACGGGTCATGTGATGGAACGGATTATAATTTACATAATTATGATTATAGATATTTTTACGGGTTGTCTAATATAGTATAACACACAAAATATATTAATATGAAATTAAACTATGTAAACGAATATTATGTCAGTATCATTTCATTATTTTAAATATTATACTTATTTAATTAATTTGATCAAATTACGACTATATAAAAAATAAATTATCATATAATGTTCTACGGGTTAATTCATAGAATTAACAATCAAAATATAGTAATACACTCTTATATACCAAACAAAATTAATAAAAAAAAATACATTTTAGAATGTCGTCCCGCGGTATACCGCGGGTTAAAATCTAGTTAAGTGTTATTCTTTGTATGAAGTATGCAATTTCCCTTTGCTTTTTTTGCAGTTTAATATTTAACAAAAAAATAAAGACACTGATGAAGTTGTGTGATGAGGATGATAAGCATCTGCAATGGTGAGATACTCTCATAGTTTCTCAATCATTAATATAACTTTTCAAATTGTACATTTTCTTTTCTTTTGCTTATACTTTACTTATGTTTTGCTTTTTTTTTTTGTTTTTTTTTCAATTTTGTTTATTTATGGTCAAACTCAGCAACTGATATATATATAAATTTTAATCACAAAACTAATATATACATCTGGTTAGTATAATTATATATCATGAGTTTTTCTCTGCTGTTAAATGCTTCAACTTAATGCTAGCTACTACTTAAGCTATTTGTTTCAGCATGTGGCATTTGAGCATGGCAGTTATTGGAATTATATGGGACTCGAGCAACGATCAACGTGTGGGAACCGGTCGTTGAAAACCGAAATAGCGAGTTGAGCATCTCACAAGTCTGGTTAACCCCAGGAAACTATGAGACTAAAGATCTCAATACGTCGGAATTAATTGGTAGGTTTGACACTATTATTTACCTAATTTTGTACCTGTGCGTTGCAGCTGGATTTTAAATTAAAACCTCTTCTATCAATATAAATTTTTGAACATAATTATAATCATTTGAATTTTAAAAGATAAATCAGTGCAATTAAACATTAAACTTATTTTACTTTGCGATATATAACATATATACTGTCGACGATAATATTTTCTTGAAAAATATATGATTTTATATATATATATATTTTGTGAAAACAAATAACACTTAAAAATATGCAGAAATAATAAATGGTATTAACGACTAGCTGATGATCTTTTATTACTACGAGAGTTTATTTTTTATTAATATTCCATGAAGACATCTCTTTAAAAGTTTTCAAGTTAACTTTATATCGACTGTTGTTGACCTCATTGTATATATTATTTATGAATATATGTTGATACAAATATAACATTGTTCTATGTAAAATGTGAATATATCGAGTCTCATGAACATTGTTTAGTGTAAAGATACATATATAATATCATGACGCTAGAATAGCTTTATCGAGCCTTTTGTTATATATCGAATAAAGTGCATTGTGCTATAATGTAATTCTTGACCGAGTTATGAATGTGTCTATCTTATCTCACTTTCCATAATTACATGGCCGTACGGGTAAACCCGACTTAGAATTCAATATTATTTTTGATAATCTAGATTATGAATTTTTTTTAAACTATTTCTCTCACACAATAAATGAGATTTCAAATATTTTATTATAGTCATATACATTATATTTCCAAGGTTTATAATTAATTTATTGTCAATTTCAACTACTAATTCTTTCGTCATCTTCTACATATCTTTCCTCAACATCTAGTTTTCTTTTCATCTTCTATTGGCTCTCATATAATATATATATATATATATATATATTGGAATATGATTTGATTTTCTATACATATCATAAATATTTTCTCTTTAATTACTATCTTTCAATACTCCATACAGTTACATAAATTTTGTATTTATTCTACCATACATTTAAAATATACTTCCATTCTAAAAATCGTTAACATATTTAAAAATTTAAATTATGATTCTTTTTTAAAGTTTTTTTTTTATCAAAATTTTGAATCATATTCTTGCTGCTAATACAATTTTCATAATAGTATTGGTTTTATTTTTTAAAATTTAATCTATTTTACATAATTTATAGTTCATTTTTTATTTTTTTAAAAATCTGTCAATTATAAATATAAGTATCTACTAAATGATGTTTTAAATGTTCTTTAATGTAAATCAAATAGTATTGCACTATTGCTTATGTGGATGTTTAGGTGGATGCTTAGAATGAGAGATAACTCCCTAATTATATATAAAGACTAGCAGTTGACCCGCGCTGCGCGCGGGAGATTTATATTTATATTTTTAATTTTTTATTCATATTGTGATATTTTATTTATTTTAATTGATTTTCAAAACATATTATAGTTATTTTCTCTTGAATTATTATCTTTCAATATTTAAATTTGGATTAAAATCGTTTTCTTTTTCATCATATTATAAACTAATATTCCCCTTTAAGATTTTATATGTACAATTACATAAATGTTGTTTTTATTCTACCATAAATTGAAAATTTACTTACATTCTTAAAGTCAGTAACACATTTAAAATTTAAAACTATGATCAATTTAAAATGAAAGTTGAATTATATTATTACCACTAACTAATATAAAATGAAAGTATTTCTTATTTAACATTTCATTTATTTACATAATTTATTTTTATTTATATAAATTTTCTATTAATTAAATAAGTAGCATAAATATGCACTTAATGAATGTTTTAAATTTATTTTAATGTAGAAAAAAATGTGGTTTATGTGGATGATTAGGTGGCATCATGAGAAAAGAGAAAAAGCTAACTTTATATATATAGATTAAAATATTTTTACGCCTAAAATATTAAAAGATTGATTAAAAACATCCACTAGAAGATTGTCAATTTGTTGTATGTATATAAGTGTACCGTACCGCTCAATATGACAAAGGATGCGAATCGGGTTTCATGCCTTTACATAAACCAAAATCAATCTGATTATTAAACCAAACCTTTGTTAGGTTGTGACCAAAAATGACCTAAACCTACAAATGCCCTAGCTATATAATGGAGTCTCTATGTCCAATGAACAAATAAAAACAACAACACATCGATCATGAACGATGAAAAAACTATAGATTCCATCCCAATCGATCTCTTTCACGAGATCTTTTCAAGAGTGCCTATGAAATCAATCGGGAGGTGTCGTTGCGTTTCGAAGCAATGGTCGTCCATACTTGTCCGTCAAGATTTCATGGAGTTGTTCCTAACCAAGTCCTCGACTTGTCCACGTCTCTTAATTGCTGCAAGAAAACGACACAACGATGAATGGCTCTTCTACTTGTCACCTCACCCTCATAATTATAATGAGAAGTCTTCTGTAATAGCCGCCGAGTTCCAAGCCAAGTTCCTTAAAACCACAAGTGGTTTTCGTAGTGGTTGTCGTGTCCTCTATGCATCTGGTTTTTTCTACTTTTCGAATGTGTTGATCTCAAACAATAACGATGAGGATTCAGTGGCTGTGATATGTAATCCACTCACAGGAAGGTATGCGATCTTACCTAAACTGGTCTTACGTAAAGTGATTTTACGTGAACTGAGAACGGACATGAGCTTTTTCATGTTTGATCCGATTAGCAAGGAGTTCAAGGTGTTGGTCATAAACATTTTAGTTAATAATGAAACGGTTTATAATATTCTGACAGTAGGAACTGGAATAATGAGGTGGAGGAAGATCCAATGTCCCTTTAACCATATCCCTACTGATAAAGGGATTTGCATCAATGGGGTTTTGTATTACTCCGCGGAAAACAATGTGATAGTTTGCTTTGATGTTAGGTCAGAGAAGTTTAGGTTGATTGACCAAAAATACTATTATCATAAGTTGATAAACTATAAGGGTAAGTTAGGTGGGATTATGTTGAAGTATGACTATGATAGACTAATGGATAGTATGTGGACTACATGTGAGTTACATATGTGTGTTCTAGAGGATATCGAAAAACAGGAATGGTCTCAATATGTCTATTGTCTTCCCGAGACAGAAGACCGCAAACGTTTGTCTGTTATTGAGATGACTAGTGCTACAAGTGAAATTGCTTTATTTGACTTCAACTACACATCTAAGCCTTATGTTTACTACTTCAGTCCTGAGAGGAAGAGTCTCCATCGTGTTGAAATTCAAGTTGTTGGGGATAAATGTGTTGGTGGTTATTATACCTTTATTGTAGACCATGTAGAGGATCTTGGTGTTAACGATAAGCATCTCAAGTTAAGCATCTATGATCATAGGATTGTTGCATCGTTTGAGAGTATTAACAAATTTGATACTTTGTGTCGTTTAGATGATGAGTAGTATACATGTGTTCTGACGTGTGATTGCTTCCTTTGCCTCTCAAGTCAGTCAAAAATGTCTCTCTATTAGCTAGAAATTGTATTCTCCTCTCCCTATAAACATCAAGTTATCAAAGAAGTTTTTTTTAAAAGTTATGTTTTTATTCAATTCAGAGGCATTGCCCAAGTTTTCTGCTGTTATATAGTATATTTTTCAAATTTAGTCATTAAGGTGATTGTGACACATGCCAATTAAATCGATGATAATATGATAAGATGCCAACATCAACTTTATTCTCATCTCTCATTCCAAATTGCAGTTTGTGAAGGTGTGCATCTCTTTAAGGTTTCATGTTTTATGTGACATCTATCTCTGCTCTAATGAAATGGCTTTTAACTGTCCATACGGGTTTACGCCGTTTTGGTATCCTCTAGTAACTTACCTTGCAATCTTTGCATTGTGTGTCGTATACTAGAGAGAATAGAGAGAGAATCAAGATGTCTTTATTCGTAAGTAAAGAGTTCTTTATATAGAGGATGGATACAAGGAAAAAAAAAAGTAAACCTAATACAATTAGGAAAAGGCTTTAGCCGCCTATAACTATGACGGGCCGGACTCGGTGATGGACCGGGCCAAACTAGACTTGTTATGACAATCCACCATTTGGTTTATAACATCGTAGAGTTTGCTTTTCTTTGTTGCTTTTCTTACAAGTTACAACAACATGAGCCACGTTTTTGTTGAGAAACCCGTGGGATCGAACCATAATCTTAGTTGGAGAGTAATCTCAATCCAAATTATTTTAGGGAAACCTAAGCCAAACGAAACGACACATGGATGCTCTGCATAAGGGACTAACAATAGTTACCGTAGAAGCCAAGCAACTAAGCATAAGAATCATATCTTCTTACTGACCGTGACTTTAAGACCATGCTTCATAGTGAGAATAACAGAGGTAACAGGTTCGATCTTTTGACCTTCAACGATCTTAAAGTCGTAGTTTCGTATGATGTCCACAGCTACTATCTTCAGCTGCAAGAGAGCCAAATTCTTACCCAAGCAAGTTCTTGGACCGGAGTTAAATGCAAGGAACTTGTATGAAGGTTCATGTCTTATCCCTCCGTCCTCTAAAATCCATCTCTCTGGTTTGAAGTCTGATGCGTCTTCTCCCCATACAGATCTCATTCTTCCTAGTGCATAAATTGAGATTACAATCTTTGAATGTGCTTCAACTTTGTGGCCGCTTGGAAGCACTTCGGACTCTGAAGGTGACTTGTGGTTAAAGGGAAGTGGTGGGTAAAGTCTCATAGTTTCCGACAAGGCGGCATGTAGATACACGAGCTTCTCGAGATCTGCGGGGTTATCATACTTTGTGTTGATCTCATGTTGGATCTTGGCCATAACATTGGGATGCATAGAAAGAAGCCAGAAGAACCAAGTGAGAGCTGAGCTTGTTGTGTCTCTCGCTGCTATCAACAGGCTAAAAACAACATCTCTTATGAACTTATCACTTCTTGGTTTCAAGAGCTTATATTTGGTAGTGTCCACATTAATATAATATGTTAACACATTCATTGATGTCTCTCTTTTCCCTCGGCCTAGCTCCTCTCTTCTTGAAGATATGATCTTCGCAAGCATTTCATCGACAGCGACCATCGAATCTCTCAGCTTCTTCTCAAGACCAACCCCAATCCATTTCTGAAGCTTCCACAAAATGACTGGTTTGAGATGTCTATAGAAGATCGCTTCTTCACTGATATCTACAGCTTCAGCAAACTCAACTTCCGGCATTTCAATGGATAGAGACATTGGATCATAACCAGTCATTAAGATCGAGGAAATATCAAAAGTAAATCTTTGAAACATATCTTGCAAGTCTAAGATGATGTTTTCCTCAACAGCTTTATCAAGAATAGGAAGAAGACCCTTCTTTACCTTACTTATATTGCTACTCACCGCGTGCTCAAGGAAACCTTTATGGTGAAAGATGGAGTGATTTGACTTCCTCAAATCCTCCCACAACATCGAGTCAGCGGCTACAATTCCATCACCCAAAACATCAAAGATCTTCTTGAATTCAGGACCTTTAGGGTAGTTTTTAAAGTTTGAACTTAGTATGTGATGGATGTTTCTTGGATCAGCCGTGAGTAAGAAGTCTGTTCCACTAAACCAGGCTCCTTTGAAAGCAAAATTCAGATCACTGGCCTCAAGAATTTCAACCATCCAATCATATACTCGAGGGAATTGGACGACCAAACTTGGAACCATCCCTAGGAAAGGCCAGTTCTTGACCAAATGGCTTCCGTGAGATTTTTTGAGGAAGAGACATTGGAACACAAAGAAAAAAAGGAATGTTATGATGAAGACCTCAAGTAAGCTTAAGATCATCATACTTGACCAAAGGGTTTCTTAAAAAAAGTATCTTTCATAAATTGGTTTGCTATATTACCTTTATAAATAAAATGTTTAGATTGACGAAGGACAAGTAATGTGTGTTAATGTTGATGTTGACAAGTAACAACGTTAAGGTAGGAGGCTTTGTTTTTAAGACACCCGATACCAAACTCATTTAGTTTGTTGTCTTTGTACTTATGTGTTGGCTTAAATTTCCACTAGAAAAAATGTACTAATCTATGTACATATTTTAAATATCATATGTTCTATATTATAAAAATATCAACTAGAAAATGTACTAAATTATGTACATATTTTAAATATCATATGTTCTATATTATAAAAATACCAACTAGAAAATGTACTAAACTTTGACCAAAAAACGAAAAGAAAATGTACTAAACTATGTACAAATTTTAAATATCATATGTTCTATATTATAAAAATATCAACTAGAAAATGTACTACACATTTATAATGCTCTATCGGTTTTCTTTTCTCTAAAACCTAGATTTAATATTGTAAATTATGAGAATTGTTTTATAAAAATGATTTTACTATGAACAAATCAATCGTAGCCTTATTAGATCCACGACATATATTATTTTGTCTCCACGACATTTTTCGTGTTCTAGAACTAAAACATTGAAATAATATAAATTTTATTGTCTCATAAAGTTTCAATGGTAAAGATATCGTGCTGACAACCTATTATAAATATTAAAGTAAATTTATAGTATAATAATATTACATATTCATATATATGATATATTTGAGAAATATTATATTATTTATTAGTGAGAACAATTAAGTAGGAGACCATCCTCAATGGTAAGATTTAATGAGTGTATCTTAGGATTAATTTAGTAATTAATATTAAAAGTGTAGAGTTTAAGATATGTATTTTTGTTTTTTGTTTTTATGTAGGATTATTGGTAGGTTCTTAACTTTGGTATCTTAGAAAAAAAAATTAATTAAAAAAAATTAACAATTTTAATTATTAAACACTTAATAATTATTGCAAAATAAAAATTTTAAAACATATATGAGTTACAATTTATTGCATAAATAACATAAAACACAATTAATTTAAACGTGATTTATTTCAACACCCACTTAGAAACTGTCACGTCACAACCTCTTAAACCTTCTTTTGTATCTTATAGAAGATACGGTATCTTATATTTTAATTAACATTTTGATTTAATTTAAATGTCTAATTTACCTAAGATATGCTTAAGATGCTAGCATTGATGATGCTCTAACGAGAGTGTGAGTAAAGTGAACTTTAATACTTCTTTTCTCTGCTTCTACACATTACAACATGATCTCCTCACTTAGCTTTGTGCCCGAGTAAAAGTTAAGACAAAAATAGATAATGATAAGTGTTAATGTGGATAAAGAGTGAGTGATAGGATAAAATTATCCAACTTTTTAACAGTGTTCTTATTTTGTTTGGTGAGACTTGAGACGTGAGAAGACAGTCTCTATTTATATTCAACCAACTAGAATAAATTATATCCGAACATGATGGGAAGTTCCATTCGTATCTTTCAATATAATTGGATTGAGTACATCCGAACAAAAATCCAATAAATGCAAACCTAGCTATATCTAACGAAAATAGAAGCTAAATGATTAGCTTTTTCTATAGTAAATAGTATTTGGTATTGAAAAAGATATAACAACAAAAGAAAAGATCATGCTCTTCGTGTTGTTGCTGAATGTTATATGTTGAGGCCAATCATAACATTTTTATTTATAGTATATCTTGCGCATCATATATTTATATGTTGAGGCCAATCATAACATTTTTATTTATAGTATATTAGAAGTAGACTTGCGCATCATATATTAATTTTCTCTATTTATTTTTGTAAACAATTTTATTGAAATACTTTTTTTTTACAACTTCCATCATTAATTAGAGTAAACATTAGGATACTTTTTTAAAATTAAATTACATTAAGATATTAAGAGTAAGTTTATTAAGTTACATTAAGATGTTAAGAGTAAGTTGAACAAAAAAAAAAGAAGACATCTTCTTTTCTTTTTGTTCAAAATAATCTTTACTTATAAATTGTTGGTTACTTTTTTATTTTGTCTCTCAATGAGTTTTTTGAGAGACATAGGCATATAGTACAACTGCGATCGTCCAAAGGATCTCGGTTACTCTTCAAATGCTTTGAGAACACTCAGTAGTAAGGGGTTTAAGAATTTGTAATTTTTTCGACTAAATTCAATAAAAACAGTGAGCTCTTTACTTTTTTCTTTTGTCTCTCAATGAGTTTTTTGAGAGACATAGGCATATAGTACAACTACAGAAAAAAATCTCATTGAAAAAACCGATTCACCATGGACATATGGAGCATTTCATGTAAACAAAAGGATAGAACAAATAAGGAGAAAAGTAAGACTAATCATCAACAACCAACCGGAGCCACGTTAATATAGAGAAAAGAAAAAGATAAACCGGATCCAAATCTAAGTTGGATAGTTATCTTAATTTAAATTTGTAAAGAAAAACCCAAAACCAAAAAAAAAAAAGAAAAAAAAACAGTAAAGGTAGGAAACAACTCCAAGCAACACAATTTATCACTTACTGAAAAGACAATACTACTAGTTATTATTGTAGACTCCAGAGCTAGCATAACATTTATATCTTCTTACTGACTGTAACTCTAAGACCATGCTTCATACGGAGAATGATAGAAGGAACTGAGTCGATCGTGTGACCTTCAACGATCTTAAGGTCATAGTTTTGTATGATGTCCACAACTACCATCTTCATCTGCAAAAGAGCCAAATGCTTACCCAAGCAAGCTCTTGGACCGGCACTAAATGCCACGAACTTGTATGAAGGTTCATGTCTTATCCCTCCGTCCTCTGAAATCCATCTCTCTGGTTTGTATTCTGATGCGTCTTCACCCCATACAGATCTCATCCTTCCCAGCGCGTACATTGAGATTATAATCTTTGAATTTGCTTCAACATTGTGTCCACTTGGAAGCACATCAGACTTTAATGGTGACTTGTGATTCAAAGGAATTGGTGGGTAGAGTCTCATAGATTCGGACAAGGCAGCTTGTAGATACACGAGCTTCTCAAGATTTGCGGGATCAAACTTTGTGTCGATCTCATGTCGGATCTTGGCCATAACTTGGGGATGTGTAAATATAAGCCAGAAGAACCAAGTGAGAGCTGAGCTTGTGGTGTCTCTTCCTGCTACCATTAGACTTAAAACAACATCTCTTATAAACTTATCACTTTTCGGTTTCAAGAGCTTATATTTGGTCGTGTCCGCATTCATATAGTATGTTAACACATCCATTGATGTCTCTCTTTTCCCGCGACTTATCTCTTCTCTTCTTGAAGATATGATCTTTGCTAACATTTGATTGAGAGTGGCCGTTGTAGCTCTCATCTTCCTCTCAATTCCAATACCAATCCAGTATTGAAGCTTCCACAGAATCTTCGGTTTGATATTTCGATAGAAGAGTGCTTCTTCACCGTCCTCTACAGCTTCACCAAACTCTACTTCCGGCATTTCAACGGATAGAGACATTGGATCATAACCAGTCATTAAAATCGAAGCTGTATCGAACATGAATCTTTGCAACACATCTTGTAAATCTATGATGATGTTTTTATCAGCAGCATTGTCAAGAAAAGGGATAAGACCCTTCTTTAACTTACTTACATTGCTACTGAGTGAGATCTCAAGAATATCTTGATGGTGGAAAATAGTGTGACCTGACTTTCTCAGATCCTCCCACAGCTCCGAATCAGCAGCTAAAATACCATCTCCCAAAATATCGAAGATCTTCCTGAATTCAGGTCCTTTAGGGTAGTTCCGAAAGTTTGAACTTAGTATGTGATTGATGTTCCTTGGATCAGCCGTGAGTAACAAGTCTGTTCCACTAAGCCAAGCACCTTTTATAGCAAAAGTCAGATTACTGGCCTCAAGAACCTCAGCGGTGCAGTCAAATATTCGAGGAATTCGGACGAGCAAGCCTGGGAGCATCCCTAGGATAGGCCAGTTCTTCAACAAAGGGCTTTCACGAGATTTCTTGTGGAGGAAGAAACATTGGAATACAAAGAAAGAAAGGAATGCTATGATGACAACTTCAAGTAAGCTCATCATCATCATTCTTACACAAAGGATTTTTGGGTTTAGATAAGATTCTTTTATGAAATTGGTTTGCTATAGTGACAATGCTATGTGTTACACCCGAGTTTATATATGATTACATTGATGCAATTGAATGCATGAATGTTGTGGTTGGAGCCTGAACCAATCTTCAGTTTTTACAAGACTCGATTGTTTACGCACCAAACTCTTGAAACTCACTTAATTTGTAATTTGTTGTCTTGTATTTAGTGTATTCACTGAATGCCACGTGATCTAGTTGGCTAATGTTCTTCGACCTTTATATAAATCACATCTAAAATCAACTCAGTTTTTACAATCTTTGAATGCGTAGTATCTGGTTATCTTACTCGTGGTTTATGTACTAGTGGCTTCTCAATGTGACTTGACTTCTCAATGTGACTTGACTTCTCAATAAGAACTAGTGGCTTCTCAATAAGAACTAGTGGCTTCTCAATTTGACTTGACTTCTCAATAAGAACTAGTGGCTTCTCAATGTGACTTGACTTCTCAATAAGAACTAGTGGCTTCTCAATGTGACTTGACATCTCAATAAGAACTAGTGGCTTCTCAATTTGACTTGACTTGCCCAAACCATTTTTGAGTTATGTAAGAGAATCAAGGATTAGGTTCAAGTACCAAACTCCTTAAAACTCAATTGTTATTTATGTCATTGTATTTTAAGTGGGTTAATTGAATTCCACATGCTATATATATGAACAATTCTAGAATCAAGATTAAGTTATGGCATTTTATAATATCTCTAGGTCAAGCGTTTTCAATTTTTGGTTGGTCAGCTGACATCATATAATTTTTGTTCATGATATGGTGTTATCTATGTGAACTACTATTCAACGACATTAAAACAATCGTCTCAACAACAGCTACTACATTATCTTCATCTACTAGGTACTCAAGACATTTATCCAACCATATACGTATTCAAAGCCAAGAAATTGTATGTAGTAGGTTCATGTCTTAGACCTCATTAACTGAATCTCTTGTCTGAACTAGCCTCATGTACTTGTGGAAGTAGTTGCAGCTGAACAGGACATTAAACGTTGATTAGGATTTAGGAAGAAGAGTTGACGTGGTGGTCTATGAACCGTATAAATAACCAAATGAGGTTTTTATCGATGGTAACAAAATTATATATGTCCTTCGCGTTTTATAACCGAAACTCATCTTCGCGTTTTATTTATTGTTTTGTTTTTTCAATTTCTCAATCCGAATATAGTTTTCTTTTTTTGTTTCTACACGTCAAAAAGCTAATAGAAATTAGAAACTATATTAATAGAGAAGCATGTGAGAATAATTGGTTACATTTTAACTTTCCTATTGTGTAAAAAGTTAAGACAGTCTCTTAAATTCATAATTAGATGAGAAGTCTAAGAAAAGAATAATGAGATTTTGCAAAGTACTTTTATTCATTGAATGTTTTGTGATTGATAAATTATATTATTTTTGATGCGTTGAGTAGAGAAAACTAGTTTTTTTTTATAAACTTTATAAGAGTTTTAATAACTTTAAATGTAATGTAGAATCGATTATTGAAACGAATGTTCCTAAGAAATTAGTTAGCATCACATAAATAAAACAAATGATAGATTATTGAAACGATTCTATAGTCTTTTATAGCTATGTTTAATGAAACTAATGTATTTTAGAGTCGGTTACAAAAGCATGCAACGTATTTTTAAGCCTCGCTTTAAAACTGATGATATAACTTAATTAGGAAAAGAAACTAATGCTTAGCTAGGTACACCAATTTGTGTAGTGATATATATTCTCTTCTTTTCCATATTTTTGACTTTAAAGAAAGAAAAAAAAATGGTTTCAAATAAGAGTTTTATTGCCTTTTTATATGCTACAATGATGATCATATTGGTAGTTTTTTGTGGAACCAAAGAAGCAAGGTATATGAAAGGTTCACGATCTATGATCGAATCAGAAAGACCCATGACTAGAAGAAAATATTTGGGATATGGAGCTTTGGCTAAAGATAGAGATCCAACATGTAGTTTCCATTATCCAAAAGGATGTATCAAACATGAGTCTAACCATTACCATCGTGGTTGTGAAACTTCTACTAGATGTCGTCGTGACTCGTGAACCTAGTCATCTACTACATCTTAGTTTTATCTTTGTATCTCTTAAATTAATAAAACGTTACTCTTGTATACATAAAACATTATTCTTGTTTTATTAAATTTTTGTTGTTTTTTTTTTGTGAACTTCTTGGGTTATTGCGCATATACAACGTGAGCATTATCATGCATGTGAAGGCAACATGGATTGTTCTCCTTCATACACATCGAGTTTAATCACTTACAAGAATATTATGTTTAATGTATTTAACAGATTTTAATAATATATTAGCGAGTGTGATTTTTTTCTTTTTTTGTGTGTGTGTAATAGTAATTCGAGTTTTGTTGTGAAATGGGTTAGGAATTAGGATTATAATTCCAATAAATATTTTTTTTATAATTGAGAGTAAATTTCCAGATCTATGGAAAAATCCGATTTTTGGAGAATTGCAGCGCACAGATAAACCTTTTTGCGAATATTCAAATAGGCCGAAAGCAAGAATATATATCTATGTGACTATATATCAATGAGAAACAATTCGCATTAGGAGAGAATCGATCCTTGACTTAGATCTACAGACCAACTTTTTTACTAGATAGGAACTACTAACCCACCACCATGGTTAATTCAAATAAATGTTACATTCACATTTCGCTGGGATGTAGTTTTAATATGGTTTAAAACCACAATTATGAGAGTTTTGTTCTTTTCTTCTCTTCGCAGAAACGTTTTCTACCATCAAAACGCATATACAATTCGTTTAAATTAGACAAGCAGGTTTATTCAAAGATATATACTAATTTATCGGTTATCTCTTTAATCTTTATGATCATGTAACTTTTAATAACAAAACAACAATTATATTGTCTCATACTAACATACACTTGCAATACAAACAAATCTTGCTTATCAAAACATTGAGTTATGACTACTGATATTTATTCGTTTGATATTATATAAAATATTACAAATACAAAAATAGTAAATAGCATTTAAACAAAAAACAGAGATATTTTGCATGTGAGCATAACGTGGAAAAAGACACACTTTAGGTATAAAGAAATAGAATCATATCTTCTTACTAACAGTGACTTTAAGACCATGTTTCATACGGAGAACAATAGAAGGGACAGGTTCAATCTTGTGACCCTCGACGACTTTAAAGTCATAGTTTCGTATTATCTCCAAAGCTACTATCTTCATCTGCAAGAGAGCTAGATGTTTACCCAAGCAAAATCTCGGACCAGCATTAAAAACCATGTACTTGTACGAAGGTTCTTGTCTTAGACTTCCATTGTCTGAAACCCATCTCTCTGGTTTGAAATCTGATGCGTCTTCTCCCCATACAGATCTCATCCTCCCCAATGCGTAAATACATATCACGATCTTTGAATCCGCTTCAACTTTGTGCCCACTTGGAAGCACATCTGACTTTGCTGGAGACTTGTGGTTGAAAGGAAGAGGTGGGAAGAGTCTCATTGCCTCGAACAATGCAGCATGCAGATAAACAAGCTTCTCAAGATCTTCATGATCGAACTTTGTGTTGATCTCTTGTCTGATCTTGGCCATAACTTGAGGATGCTTAGCAAGAAGCCAAAAGAACCAAGTGAGAGCTGAGCTTGTTGTGTCCCTTCCTGCTAACAAAAGACTAAATATAACATCTCTTATAAACTTATCATTATTTGGTTTCAAGAGCTTATATTTGGTCGTGTCCGCCTTCATATAGTAGTTCATCGCGTCCATTAATGGCTTTCTCTTCCCGCGACTTATCTCCTCTCTTCTTCTTGAAGATATAATCTTTTCAAACATACGATTTACAGTAGCTAAAGCAGTTCTCATCTTCCTCTCAAGTCCAATACCAATCAAGTTTTGAAGCCTCCACAAGATCATTGGTTTGAAATGTCTATAATAGATGGCTTCTTCACCTAGTTCAGCAGCTTCACCGAACTCAACTTCCGGCATTTCGATGGATAGTGACATTGGATCGTAACCAAAATAGAAGAAGTATCAAACATGAATCTCTGGAACACATCTTGCAAGTCTATGATAATGTTTTCCTTAGCAGCATTATCAAGAAAAGGAACAAGAACTTCCTTTAACTTACTTGTATTGCTACTTACAGAGAGTTTCAAGAAGTCTTGGTTGTGAAATATGTCGTGGTTTGACTTCCTTAGATCCTCCCACAACTCCTGATCAACGGTTAAGATCCCATCTCCCAAAGCATCAAAGATCTTCTTGAACTCAGGTCCTTTAGGGTAATTCCCAAAGTTCGTGCTTAGCATGTAATGGATGTTCTTTGGATCCGCGGTGAACAACATGTGTGTTCCACTGAGCCATGGCCCTTTGAAACGAAAAGTTAGATTGGTGGCTTCAAGCACCTCAACGGTCCAATCATAGATACGAGGGATTTGAGGGATCATTCCTGGAAGCATCCTAAGGAGAGGCCAGTTCTTGAGAATAGGTTGACCGTGAGATTTCTTGTGGAGGAAGAAACAAGTAAATAGGAATACAAGGAAAAGAAAGGATGCTACAAAGACTTCAACTAAACCTAGCATGGCCATTTCAAAACAAAGGATTTATGAGTACTGATACAAGACTCTTAGTTAAGTAAGTATGCTATATATAACCTAGACTCAACTAAATGCAGAACTTAGGTAGGTGAAAATGTCCTGCCTATATATAACCGGTCTTAAATACAGTTAGGAATATCGGACCACAAACCTCAAACTCATTTACTTATTTGTCTTGTAAGTAGTAGTGGTTTACATGAACTAGTCGACTTAGAATCGTAAAACATTGACGTCTAAGTTTAAAAGGAACAAGTTGTTGATTTTAGTTATCTCTTTTTTTCATCACACCAAGACAGTCTTATTGTTGCAACGTCCGTAAAAACAGATGAGTTCGATTTATCTTGTACTGATTGAATTGTCAGACACTCTAGATAGATTGTTTACCGGGGACACAACTATATTTGCCGGGGACAAGTGCTCTCACAATTCATAACGCGGGTCTGCAGCTGACAGCGATGTAGGTACTATGGCTCCGAATTGTAACTGCGTTTTTTTACTGTAGGAGAAGTGCAGTGCGGTCCAAATAGTAACGAAAATATATAGATATATATGTATATGCAGATATTTTGACACTGTTACAACACTGTTGCGGTGCGGTTTTGTAGTGCGGTGCGGTTTTGTAGTGCGGTGCGGTTTTGTAGTGCGGTATGGTTACCATTCGGAGTCTATGTATAAGATCGTCATGCATCGTTATGTAAGATGGAAGGTTCTTAACCTAAGATTGTATTAAGAAATTTTCTTTATATACTTAATGGTCTAGTTAATATTGTAAGTGTGCATTTTTATTTAGTGGTATAATTACTTTTTTGTTAGGAATTTAGTGGTATAATTATTATCCAATAGCTAAAATTACTATACACATTTTTAAAACCTTTAAGTATAAGTTGTTGACTGATACCCAACAAAAAAAAAACATTGTAACTCTTGTTTTAATTTTTTTTTTTTTTGGCAAGGTTGTAATCCTAGGTTAATCATCTTTTGTAAAACCTCAATACTTCAATCTGTATGATATAATTAACGTCACTATCCTATTTTTATTTAAAAAAAAAAATTTGAAAACCGTATCTTGATATCTATATTCAAATAATAAAATATTCGTTTTAGACTCGTCTCGATTGATTTATATTAAATTTTAAAAATTCAAGTCATGAAAAATGTGAAAATAGATGTTTCTTATTATCTAGATGATGTGATGATTTATTTATTTTAAAATATAAATGATAAGTGAAATATAATAATTAATAACAAGGTAATTTAAATATTAAATCTTAGATGTAAAATGAACTTACGTACCAAAATCCGACAAATCCATAAGTCTTGCCGGAGAGAACCATTGGTGTTTTTTAAAACTAATTTACTAGAAAATTCTTAGAAGGTTACATATTAGATTTAATTTCGTATGTTTTATTTATATTTTTTTTGGAGAGGTAAACGATGTTATATATCATTTTATTTGGGTCGTCGTATGCTACATTTTCATAAAATTTACTTTGCCTTCATTTACTGCATCGGAATAATCATTCAGAATATTTTAGTGTTGCAGAAATGTGAATTTTTTTTAAAAAAAGTATTTTTCACAAGTGAACTGTCTATTTTATCTATATCGTTTGTGTGATAATCCATTTGGGTGATATATTTATTATTATCTTTTTAATCCTTTTGAGTAATATAATTCATTTATTTATTCATTGATTATGGACTGTTTCTAGTTAGTAGTTACTGTACTTCGTATTTAGTCCTACAATAAATGATGTTTTCTGTACAGCTTGGTAGAGCATCTTTATACCTTGGGTTTCTGTTCTTGCTAATTTTATATTAATATTTCTGGTTAAGTTATTATATAATTATTTTTTTCTGGATAAATCAAATTTATTTTTTTCAGAAAGTGTTTAAAATATATAAAAGCATTTTAAAACAATATTTACAAAAATATAAAAAATTATTACAATTTCGATGAAAGAGTGGAGAATAATCATACTATATTTAGATTTATAAACTAAATGAGTTGAGCAACCGGTTCTCCCGAGAAGAAAATTGCGATGAAATATGAAACGTCACCAATTTTGAGGAGAAGAGAGAGAAAAGCTAGCATAACCCAAAAACAAAGAAATCAACTATGATCAAATTGATGCTGCCCGTAGTGTCATCTCACAAACAATAAAATCATAATTGATTATTCCAAGATCCCATATCCAAACTGATTTCCAATTCTCATATCGGAGAAGTTCAATTGAGAAACATAAATTCTATTATAATGAGGTATAAGAGCAAGGGCATTAGCGTTAGTACGCCGAGTCCCACTAGTTTTTTTGGTTTAAAATAAATCAATAATCGGATTAAATCTTGTATACGTACCTAAAAACGGGACAAATTTGAGTCGTCCCGTTTGCCACGTGTCAAAGAATAATTGGAGATGAGAGTAAGAGGAGAAGATCCAATGAATAGAATGATCTATGTTTTATTTCCATGTTTTTTATATAATTATAAAAATTAATTTTAAAATTTTAAAATATTATTAATTTAATAGAAGGACAAATAACATGAAACACCAATGCTCCTACACTCAAAATTTTAAAATGTCCTATGATCTAAATATTATAAAAAAAATTGAGGGACCAAGATTGGTATTACACCAATGCTGATGCTCTAACAACCTCGGTCCTCCACACATTCCCATGATACATAGGTATTGGCCTCCATTTTTTTTTTTTTTTTTTTCAAAAATTATGCCCCATAAGAAAAAAATATTTGTAAGAATAGGCCCCGTTTTTTGGAAATATTAAGATTTTGCCTTTATTTCTAAATTTTATCTATTTTTATTGCAAAAACAAGCCTCATTTTTAAAAAATTTAATATTTAGTACAATATTTTAAATTTTATCTATAAAATTCATCAAAATAATTTTGTTTTAGTTTGTGGCCCCAAATTTGACAGGCCAACGTTGTGTATAAACGTTTCGGTGAAGAAACAATGGGCACCGCTCAAAGACAGAAATAAGCCGACTTCATTATACTTCCGGTAAGGCCAAAATTGGGTCGAAGACACACTCTCACATAAAGAGAAAAGGAAAACTCCACTTTAAAGAGAAACTTGGTCGTGACATACATAAACCCGTAGTGAGCCTAAGGGTATATGTTAATATTCTAATTCCTAGTTATGTTATTATCTTATAGTTAGGGCAACTGTGTATGTGTATAAATACCCAATTCTTCTATTGAATACAACACACATTACATTCTATTTCACAATATTTCATAGTATCAGTGCCATGTTAACCCACATAGTTGTGTGGTAGATAACAACACCCAAACGGAAAAAACCAGATTGAGATACAATTTAGATGATATTAGAGTGACTAAACTACAAAACTCTCTCTTGCCTTCCATTTTTCTTTATTTTCCACAAAACCATAACACAAATCACAAAAACATGTGATACATTAAAAGGATGAGAGATTTAAATGGCCAAAATTTGAAAGTTGGTTATTTAAATGACGTTTTTCCATCTTAAATTATGGAAAGTAAATACTATTTCAAATTAAAATATACATATTTTAAAAATAATTATATTTATAATTTTTTTTTATTATTCTCGGAAAAAGTTATTAATGCGATAGGATGGATATCCCTAGATATTAATTAAGAACAAAATAATTATTTTTTTGCAATACCTAAAATAAGTTACATTTCAAAAATTAGTAGTATATATTTCAAATTTCTTTTTAGAATATACAATCGAATTAATCTTATATTTTATTCACCAAAAAATACGTTTTCATAGCTGATTAATTAATCTTTGCGTTTCCCCTTTGCTTTATTTTCCACGACACGAAATCACAAAAGCATTGGATACATCGAGAGATGAGAGAGATCTCGATCTCAACGATCGCTCTTTCATCTTCGCATCTTCTTCTTCTCTTATCTTCGATTTCTCTCAACTTCGTCTTAGGTTCGTCTCGTCCTCCTTCAGATCTGTGCTTTAAAGTAGAATCATTAAGATTCACTTATTAGATTTGTGCGAGATTTAAATCGAATTTTTAGCTGGACTTTGTCTCTTTCTCGATTTCATTGATTACATTGATCTCTTCTTTTGATGTTTACTAAAAAAAAGGCTCAGTATCTTTGGGTGTATATGCCAAAATGATACTACTCTGAATTTTGTAGCATTATGATCTGTATGAATCACCCAACGATGATGTATGTATGACTAATGAAACTGTTCAATTGCTAATAGCTCAATTGGTAAAGATCTCTGACAAAAGTTTAGAGGTCGCCGGTTCGAGTAGCGCTTGGGACGAGACCATATAACATGTTTTAGTTTCGGGTCTGAGGGGATGTCAGAACCTCTTTGGTTATTCAAAAAAGAAAAATGAAACTGTTCTGTTTTGTATGTCTGATTATTGAAACTATTATGTTCTGTTTTTTATGTTCTTGGCTTTTGTTTTCTATTTTAAAGAGTGTATACTTGTAGAAATTGATTATATTCTCTGTTTCTGTATAGATCATGTAGCTTCAGGATTTAATGAAATATCACCAAAACAAACTTTACGATTATGCAGATTTGGTTTCATGCTATCATGTAGTGTTGTGTTGATTCTATTGATATGCTTTTTGTTTTTTCAGGTATATCTGGTGATTCGAAGAGTTCGAGTACTGGAGCAAAGGCTGAAGAATTTCATACTTCTAACAAATCAGGGACGAAAGTGATACTCATACTGCTCGGGTTTGGTGCTGTGGCAGGATTCTCGTTCTTCTTGTATAAATTGTGGCAGAAGAAGAAAAGAGACGAGCAGTATGCTCGGCTGTTGAAGCTGTTCGAGGAGGATGATGAACTGGAGGTTGAATTAGGACTCCGTGATTAAGTAAAAAAACCAAATCTGTAACAATGTCTGAGGTATGTATGTTTCTGTCTGGATAAGTTATATGAGCATTGTTGCAGGAGTTATTAGCAATTTGCGTTAAACTCTTTAGACCTGTGAAATGTCATAGTTAGAGGAATTGTTTACTTAAAGAGTTATGCAAAGCTGAGTGATAGATAATGCTTTGAAACTCTTATTCGAATTCTCAAGTTATAGACCAAACTTCTGATTTGCGATTTCGTTCAGTTCGATTGTTAATATATGCATAAATGTTTGGCATTTGGCAGGTGTGTATTCAGATCATACAAGGGGTTCATAAATATATATAAATTGGCTGTATACATACATGCATTAGACAATTTGAAGTATATGCTTAGGAAATGTATACTTTAAAATGATGTAATTTTTGACTGGGTGATCTTAGCTTCTGTTGGAGGCTCTGGAGAAAATGTTCCTCTTTAGTGTTAGTTCCAATTCCTTGTAAAACAATTACATTCATCAACTTCTATGTTCCATTGATATTTGTTGTTGCTTGTACAATTTAGATGTTTCTTGCAGTGTTGAGTCAATGCGTGTTCTAATTAAATACACGAAATGATCCAAAAGAGATGCAAGTTTCGTCGACTCGGTAAGACTTAGAGACCAAAGGTAGACACACTACTAGTGCAATAACATAAGTATTTCAATCATATCATTATATAACATCGAGCCAACAAAATACAAGTAGTAATTATCAGTGTGTGTGCAACACAACACAAAACAAATCCATTCAAGATTTTCAAAGCAAAACACTACCATAATCTGCAAGAGTCTCAGCTACGTACATGAGACTCGTCTATGCATCTATTTTCAAAACTATATGTGTTTTGAGTGTTTTAGAATGACTTTGCTTTGTGAACTTGTGTTTACAAAATGATCTCAAAGAGGCTTAATTTGTACTAGTAGAGTAGTATTGTGAGGTCTAACACATACAAAAAAATTATGTTTTTGTATTTACATATCATCTCAACTAATAAAAACTTGTTTCAGGCATAGATTAATCTCTACTTGACTTATTTTCATTCTCACGAATATGAAACTAAAAGAGGAGCTTCTTCCGATCCTACGAATTCAAAGACAATATATGAAACTAAATATTTTAGAGTTTTAAACTCTCTATATACATAAATAACTAAAAATCTAAAATTTAGAGTTTAAAACGCTCAAATTAAAATATTTTGGAAACTGAAAACAGATCTCGGAAAAAAATTTCTATGCTACTTAGGGTACCATATACTATATCATAAATCATACGTTTTTCATGTTCAACGGCTGTGTTCTTTTCATAACGGTCTGTATTCCGGTAAAATAGAGAGGCGTCGTTGTCGCACGACTGAAAAAATACAGAAAAACAAAGTTTTGATAATCGCTGAAAATTACAGCGTCCATTTTTAAAAACAGTTTCTGCTTGCCAACAGAATCGCAGCGACTCATCCGTATTAAATTTGTTGCCGTAACAATGTTATTTTTTTGTCGTGTTCTTTTTACGGTCGCCATTGTAATCTCGACGACCGTAAAAAGAACACGACCGTTATTGAAAAGAGTTTCCATGTAACCAAACTTTTTTACTGACATTTTAGAAGATTTAGCATATCTGAGATTCTAGATTTTGAGATATATTTCTTGAAAATAAAGAAATGGTTTCTTACTTTCATCTCCTTATTATGATATTATCTCTCTATATTATATTTTCTTTTCATTTATGGGCCTGGCCAATCTTAATTTAGGGCCATAAAACAAAAAAGGAAAGAACAAAGCTAAATGCATGTAAACGTGGCTGCTTTAAGGCCTCTTTTTGTGATGTAAGAACCAATAAGCCCGCCAAATCCACACAGAAACAGAGACGACACAGACACATCATCTATGTTCTTGTCTCTCTCCCCTCCTCCTATGGCCGCTAATTTCTGTGGTTGGTCGCTTCAGTCTTCGTCTCTCTACAACTTTAGACAACCACCGATCAGATCTTCCTTCATACGATCTTCCTCTTCCAATGGCAATCTTCCCATTAAAGAATCCTTCTCTGGTTCACTCTCTCTCGCTCTCTTACAGCATAGTACTTTGGTTCTTGAATTGTTTGTAGGAAGTAGAAAACTAAAAATTAGGTCTCTTACTGTTGTTTCTATGTCCTGTAACTAAATTGCAGTATGGTTGTTTGTGTTTGTTTAGGGGAGTCTGAGGCAGATGTTGTGGTTATTGGAAGTGGTATAGGGGGATTATGTTGTGGTGCATTGTTAGCTAGATATGGTCAAGATGTGGTTGTATTGGAGAGTCATGACCACCCCGGTGGCGCGGCTCATTCATTTGAGATCAAAGGGTACAAGTTTGATTCAGGGCCTTCTCTGTTTTCTGGTTTGCAATCTCGAGGTCCTCAAGCTAACCCACTTGCTCAAGTAAAATGTTTTCTCTTCCTTTAATAAACTCTGCTGTTTTGGATCAAAGTCTTTGTCTTTTGAATATGTTCTTATGCATTTTGGGTTGTTTTGATTTTATTTTTCAGGTTCTTGATGCTTTAGGGGAATCACTTCCATGTAGCAAATATGATTCTTGGATGGTTTACTTACCAGAAGGAGACTTTTTGTCACGCATTGGCCCTACGGATTTTTTTAAGGTAACGAAGTTTATCGTATGTTGTCTGAGTTCTAATTTCAAATGATAATGGAAACCACAAGAAAATGCAATTAAAGTTTAATCCAGTTCACTTTGCTTCTTTGAGCTTGTAGCACTGATCTTGTTTAGTGTAATTTTTGCTTTAGGATTTAGAGAAATATGCCGGTCCAAGCGCAGTCCAGGAGTGGGAAAAGCTTCTTGTGGGTGCCTAAGTCTGAATATAAATGACATCTAGTCGTGAGATCTCATCTACTAATAACCACATGACTATGATGAACCCTGCAGGGAGCAATACTCCCTCTGTCTTCTGCTGCTATGGCGTTACCACCGTTGTCTATTCGTGGGGATCTTGGTGTTCTCTCCACTGCTGCTGCTAGGTATATATCAGAACTGAATTAGTTATAGCCATCTTTTTGCTTGGTGCATTTTTGAAATGACTTCTCTTTTTTGTTTTCTTCTTAGATATGCTCCTTCCCTTTTAAAATCTTTCATTAAAATGGGTCCTAAAGGGGCGTTGGGCGCCACAAAGCTTCTCCGCCCGTTCTCAGAGATCATTGATTCTTTGGAGTTAAAAGACCCGTTTATACGAAACTGGATTGATCTTCTGGCGTTCCTTCTCGCAGGGGTCAAATCTGATGGAATACTCTCAGCAGAGATGGTAAGTAAAACGGAAACTGCAATATTATGTCCATTATATGGAGTCTTTGCACAAGAAGAAACAAGATTGTCATATCTTGGTGCATAAAGATTGGGTTAAAATGAAAGTATTTGCGTCATATGTGTGCAGATTTACATGTTTGCGGAATGGTACAAGCCAGGCTGCACATTGGAGTACCCTATTGATGGTAGTGGTGCAGTGGTTGAAGCGCTTGTTCGTGGCTTAGAGAAGTTTGGGGGACGTCTGTCTCTTAAAAGCCATGTTGAGAACATTGTCATCGAGAATGGTAAAGCTGTTGGAGTCAAGCTAAGGAATGGTCAAGTATGAAGAGTTACATAAATATATTCAATCTCTCTTCAAATTTTGTTACCATTGCTCATTTTGATTGTTATAAATGATTCAGTTCATTCGAGCTAGAAAGGCAGTGGTTAGCAACGCGTCGATGTGGGATACGTTAAAGCTCTTACCTCCAGGAGCTCTTCCAGATTCATATGTTAACGGTGTGAACACGACGCCACAATGTGAATCATTCATGCATCTTCATTTGGGATTCGACGCAGAGGTATCATTCATGATGTACTGATGTTTCAGTTTTGCGTGTTTGTTATTTCCTTTTTCAATCTTTTCTTAAATGGAACTGGAACAGGGAATAGCAGATGATCTTGAGATTCATCATATTGTTGTGAATGACTGGGATCGCGGTGTGGATGCTGACCAGAATGTGGTTCTGATATCAGTCCCTAGTGTTCTTAGCCCGAACCTCGCGCCACCAGGAAAACATGTTTTGCATGCTTACTGCCCTGGAACCGAACCTTTCAGTCTATGGGAAGGTCTTGACAGGAGAAGTGCCGAGTACAAGGATCTCAAATCCCAACGGTCCGAGGTGATGTGGAGAGCAGTGGAGCGGGCATTAGGGCCCGGGTTCAAGAGAGAGAAGTGTGAGGTGAGTTTGGTTGGAACACCCTTGACGCATCAGAGGTTTCTAAGGAGGAATAGAGGAACATATGGGCCAGCTATAGAGGCTGGGAAAGGTACATTTCCTGGCCATTCGACTCCTATTCCACAGCTTTTATGCTGCGGTGACTCGACCTTTCCCGGGATTGGAGTTCCTGCAGTGGCAGCTAGTGGCGCGATTGTGGCAAATTCGCTTGTTCCTGTTTCTAAGCATTCTGAGCTTCTTGATGCTATTGGCTTGTAGAAAGAATGGGCTATTGATTATCATTTATGTATGTATGTTTTCTCTAGTAACACCTTCTCGCTATTTACCGCATACTATACTACCAAAGATGGCAAGCTTAGCGATATGATTAATGGATTCTTTTCAGTAATTATAAGTTATGGGATCTCTAAACATATTCATATCTTTGGAATCTATCGTTAAAGACTTAAAGTGCTAGCTTTGGTAACACTCACTATTTCACGAATTTGCCTATCAATGACACTTAAAAATAAGTATTAGACTATTAGCCATGAAGCATCATCTGAACTGTGTCAAATCAAAAATGGAAAACAAACACAATTGTTCAAACAATACCGGACTAAGATAGAAAATGAAATCAAACATCAACTGTTTTAATCACAGATTGAGTCCAATCACAGTGTCACACGTATGCTCCAATTGTTAGCAGTTTCAGTTTGTGTCCAAATGATGTAGTACTTTGTTGTTCGATACTTTTCAATGTATATTTAGGATTTATAACTCCCTGATTTTCTTAGGCTTTACGATTTTTAATCATATATAAACTTATTTTATTTTAGTTTATATAAAAACCCTTTGAGTTTCTGTGATCTCTTTTGTTATTCAAGCTTAATTCCGTGCTTGCTTTGGTATTATATGGTTCTAACACTAAAATAGAAATAAAATTCGTAAAGATACATGATTCATTCTAGCAATTTGTATCAATTTACCAAAAAATTTCAAGTTTTGTTTCTATTTAGAATTCAGATTTTGAATAAAAAGTGATATGTAAGCCGTAAAATGATATGTAATTTGTGTAGAATATCTCAAAAATAAAGTTTACTTATTATCAAGTTGAACTATAACTTCTAACATAATCAAAAAGAAAAAAAAGTTTGATATCCCATCATTTGAAATAAATGCTTTTAACCCAAAATGGACTATTATTAAGGAAGAAATTGTCATGATATGTCTTAAAAATCAACTCACACTTCAGTATATATTATATGAGAAATAAATAGAAGGTGGAAATAAACTAGATGTCGAGAGCCGAGAGGTAACGAGTACATCGTAGAAGATCACAAAAGAATTAGTAGTTAAAAGCGATTGAATATAATTGACTATAACTTAAAAAGATAATGTATATGACTAAATTTTGAAATATTTGAGATCTCATTTATTATGTTAAATGAAGTGAGTTTTTCTAAAACTCAAGACATACTACTAGATTCAAAATCGGGCTTAACCGCTAGTTATATAAATGAGATAAGATAGACACATTTATAACTTGGTCGAGAGTTCTCTTATACCACATTGCACTTTTTCCGATGGATAAAGAAAGTTCCCTAAACCTACTCTAGCAACATGATATTATATATGTATCTTTACACTTAATAATGTATATGAGGCTCGGTAAATTTGTGTTATATATAGAACGGTGTTATATTTGTATCAACTTCTAATCGTAAATGACATCTATAATTAGGATCATGAGCTGGTCGTCGATGCCATTTACGCTTCTCGCAAATCTTTTCAAGTGAAGTTTGTTACTATGTAATAATATTAAATCATTTATTTGTCAAGAAAACACTATCGTCAACTATATATATGTTGTATATATATCGCTTAAAAAATTAAGTTTAGTGTTCGCTTTTATCTTGTAAAATTTGAATGATTATAGTTACATGCTCAAAGATTAATATTGATAGAAGAGTTTTTAAATTAAAATAACACAATCTAGTAGTAATAATAGCCTAGCTACCTAAAAATGGCAAGTAGTGCAAAAAAATGGCGGAAAGCAGAGTACGTTGGGTTTACGAATTAGTGAAAAATCATATCGTTTGCATTATGTGACTTAGTGGAATCCATGAGCTCACTGGTTTTAATTGGTATGATTGATTATATTGGTTCGACTTTAATTTGTTATTGCAATTGATTATTTCTTAAGGTCTTAGTTTAGTGATTGGTTTCTACTCTTGTACACATAGGTGGATGTCAATTGTTCTTACGGCGTTTCTGGTTATTGTACTGATGTCACCAGTCTCTGTGCGGGTTGCGAGACAAGCTTGGGAACTACGAGTTAGTGTCTTGTGCTTGCTCATTGAATTAAGTTTTATCCTAATCATTGTTCCTTAATCTTGCTGCTTTTGAACTAGATTTTGGCTAGGACCATTCAGAAAGTGAAGGAAATGCAAAAGGTACATTGCCCTTATTATCTCTTTGAAATGTTTTCAAACTTAACTCAAGCACAATTTGTTACAAACAACTTTCAGGTCGGTAATCGTGAAACTCTAGCTAAATACACAAAATGGGAAGCGGAGTTGACGAAAACTGATCCAATTGTTAATAAACCTTAATTTCTTTGCAATATTTTCGTATCTCTTCACAAACTAACTGATCCAATTGGTTTCCTAACCATGGCTAAAATTTATGTTACCGGATTCGGTGGATCTGTTTATAAAATACGGTAATTTTAGAAATTTAATATCCTAATCTCTCTCACGTTTTATATCACAAATCTCGTAGACTAGCTTGTATTATAATCTATATGCAAATATTATTTATTTTAACAACCGAATCAAGCAACACTTTAAATGGGAACCTTAGTTGAATACTTAAAACCATACCAAAAAAAAACTTATTATTCAAACGCAAACCAAATAAGTGAATAACTAATGGAAATTATCAAAACATTTAACATTATAATATCACAATGAACGTTAACAAAGAGAAGAATTTACATTCATCTAACATATTATACTAATAATACACCACAATGCAATATCGTTTTCTCTTAATTAACTTTTCTTTGTTAAATAATACTAGTATCTAAAATAAAACCTTAATTAGGAATGTATATTTTTTTTAAAAGAAAAATACAATTTATACAGGTTGTTAAGTGGCTTTTTGGGGATGAAACTATACATCTTATGTATGTTAAGGTATTAACATATTCTATTGCCACTTAACCCTTAACGGACATGAGACGATGCAATGCATGGAAAAATTCTTTAATAACTACACAACTTGGGGATACAAGATGATTTTATATAATTGAAACTTTGGAATATAAATTAATTTTTGTAGAAATTTAATTCATTTTTTTAATCACTATCTCTTTTCTATGTAGGTTGAAGCAGTTATATTATACCATCGCTAATGGAAGGATTTTAATAAGTTTATAATTAATTACTAAAATATTGGGAAAAAAATAAGAGAAAAATAAGAAACTGTTTATAAGAGTTTTAATAAGAAATTTTAAAGACACTTGTCTTTATGTGAATGGTTTAGTTTCTTTGATCAAAATTTAATTATATAGAAATATTAATATTTTCTTTTTTTAAAACCCAAAAAATAAGAAATGGTGTTGCTCTTACTATTCAAACTTGTTACGCAGGTAATGTAAAAATAATTCTTTGCTGTAATAATAAGTTTTATATAAGATATAAGATTCTTTTGTTGTATATAAGATATTCAATTTATTTAAACACTAGAAAAAAAATTGCAAACAAATTTTTCTTGGAAATGCAGTTCCTCGATATCATATCGAATAATTGATTCAACAACAAGAGGAGCCAAATCTAACAAATGAAACTCTAATGTTAAAGTGAAAGCATAGTTAGCTAATCTATCTGCAAGACGATTAATTTGCCTATAAACACGCGATATTCAGTATATTGAATTCCTAGATAAATCACTAATTATTTTAAATTTACTTGTTGTGATATAGACTAATGTTAGGAAAACATATTATAGTTTTATTAATTCGGAAAAACGAATTCATCATACATTATTATATCTATAACATTTATCAAATAGAACAACTAAATTCCAAAATTTGAAACGAAATCCTTATTTAATGAAGTTGACAAATAAGATATTTATCGAAGTCCTTTCTACTTACTAGGGAGAAGTTTTGTCACCGGTGAGATTGGATTGATAAGTGGTACCACCACTTCCTCCACCAATGCCAATACCAAAGCCAATGCCCATTCCAAAACCCACTCCTCCTCCATTGCCTATTCCTGTTCCTTTGCCCATACCAAAACCAGAACCTGAACCACTACCACTGCCATAACCAGATCCATTTCCACCACCTCCTCCACCTCCACCTCCGCCGCCGCCGCCACCGCCTCCTCCTCCTCCACTATTTCCAAAGCCAACTCCTACACCAGCACCGAATCCGCTTCCATAGCCTGAACCTCCATTTGCACCACCACCTCCTCCACCTCCTCCTCCTCCACCTCCTCCGGCTCCACCACTTCCCCCACCAGCACCGGATCCGCTTCCATGGCCTGATCCTCCATTGGCACCACCTCCTCCTCCGCCACCGCCTCCTCCACCCCCTCCGGCTCCACCACTTGCACCACCAACTCCACCACCAGCACCAGACCCGCTTCCATGGCCTGATCCTCCATTGGCACCACCACCTTCTCCACCACCGCCCCCTCCACCCCCACCAGCTCCACCACTTGATCCACTAACTCCAGCACCAGCACCGGACCCGCTTCCATGGCCTGATCCTCCATTGGCACCACTACCTTCTCCGCCACCGCCCCCTCCTCCCCCACCAGCTCCACCACTTGATCCACTAACTCCAGCACCAGCACCAGACCCGCTTCCATGGCCTGATCCTCCATTAGCACCACCACCTTCTCCTCCACCCCCTCCTCCACCCCCTCCAGCTCCACCACTTGATCCACCAACTCCAGCACCAGCACCGGATCCGCTTCCATGACCTGATCCTCCATTTGCACCACGGCCACCACCTTCTCCGCCGCCTCCACCTCCACCGCCACCAACACCACCATAACCACTCATACCAGCTCCAGCACCATACCCTTCTCCATACCCGTACCCATCACCTCCTCCACCACCATATCTTTTGGCAGATTTTCCATAAAAACTACCACAACCACGCCAACTCCGAGAAGAACAATCATCATCATCATTGTTATTCTCTACATTATCTCCATAACTTCCCCCAAGCAATGTAAAAACAATGCATGAAAGAAGAAGAACCATGCATAGAAACCTTGGATGAGTTGCCATTGAAGTACGTACTCTTTAGTTTGTTTAGTTTTTACTCTTTAGTTTTCAAACAACTTTGGTTTGGTTCCATTTACGTTGTGTTCTGCTCTCTATTTATAGCCCTGATCGAAGCGGAAGATCGAAACTATTCTGATTTTTAAAAAACATATATTAGTTCAATAGTCAGACCAGTGTTGGTCCATATACATTTAGACTTGCTAAGTTTTCAAGGTACGTGACCTAGCCACCTAGGGGACGTATATTTTATTGAGAATTGAGAGAGTTGTAACTTGTAAGTTAACTTAAGTCAATGCAAAAAGTCCTACAAAGTCAACTGATTGGGTATACAACTATACACCACACTAAATATACACACTTTTAAATTTTTATTTTGGAAACGAGAATGTGCATTTGCTAGTTAATTAATAACAATTTAAATTACCATAATGTCATGTTTTCACTTTTATAACTCTATAGATAAACAAATGAAATTATAGTTATATATTTTTTTTGGGTTTCTGGTCAATCATATGTATGTATAATTAAGAATTTGTCAAAGCAGGATCGGCGAGTTATCACTAATCAAATTAAACGACTAATTATTATATTATTTCACAGTATTGGATCTTCCACTGTTTTTAGATAAAGCATTGAAATTTCTAGTCTCGTCCGGAAAAATTACTCCGTCCGTCCGTCGTATTTATATAATTTTTTTATTGAGTATAGCCGATTTGACTATCATATGCATATTAGATTGGACTCAAATTCAAATAGTCTGACGTTAATAATTATAAAAACTAAGTTTATATAGTTTCTGTAGTGAGGTGGAGCAGGTAATACATAGAATATTAGAATGTGTAAATATATAATCTATAATAAAAAAAATTAGGAAGAGATCTCTACTTATATAATAATAGTATTAGAAAAAATGGCATAGTCTGTGTCGTGTTATACTTCATTTGTTTCAAATTAATATAACAATGATTTTTAATAATATGTAGAATAATTGTTTTTTAACATTATAAGTTATTAGAGACGTAGACAAAGAATAATTAAATTTAATATAATACGTAATATATTGTTCTTTAGCTCCATGCATGAACCTCCATTAACTATTTCCGCTATAGATAGTGTAAATAATAATTTTAGGAAAAAAATGTACAATTTAACTAACAATCTAACATAATATGTCGTGTCATGCTTCCTAATTTTGTTTCAAATTAATATAACTATATAAGTATCAATATTTTATAACAATGATACTCGATCAATATTGTCCAATCTGTAGAATGAAAATTTGATAACCTAAGTCTTATCAGAAACGTAAACAAAAAAAAATTAACTTTAAACATAACGTTTGAGTTGTTGCACAATTTTTTTTTTTATTAGATAGGTTGATCAAATCTTTCAAACACGAGGAAGGAAAAAAAAAATAAAGTTAAAAGTTCAACATATCCCATTAACTAAACCAAAACAAAACACGACGACGCAGGAGACTTTGTTCGATACCAAGACCATTACTAACATATATGATTCGACTACAAAAAATACTTTTCTAAGTTTCGTAGTGTACTCTACTTAGTACTTACACTTTATTGAAGATCATTTGCGTTATAAGTCAATGATTTTGGTAAAAATCCTATATATCTAAATATATCTAATATATATACAAAGATTCTATAACATGATATTAAGAAGATCTATGACCTATACATTTATATATACACTTGTGGTTCATAAGAAATAATTAAGTCTCATCCCATGTGACGACTGAGAGAAACTATATATGCGACAAATGGATTTGGTCTTTGATATCGTAGATGTGTAGGTGTTACTTTGTGAACTCGTATGCAAAGTCATAAACGTTTATATACGTATCATAATCTAGAGGAAAATTAACAACTCCCACTTATTTATACTTATGACCCTTTTTCAAATGTTTGAAACCAATCATAACTAAGTAAATTCATTGAAATATAGGTCAATGTTATACGTAAATATAACATTAGTTACGTAAGGTTACATAAGTATTTGACTTTAATGTGCTAGCAATTATAAGAACATTCCAAAACAAAGACAAATTAACTTTAATACATATATAAAGTCTAGCTTTGGATGTGTATATATATGGATTACATTTTACAATCTTTGAAGATACGTATAAAGGAATTTGGAGTATTAGCGTTGAAGAAAGTAGTAGATATGGGAGAAGTCTAGCTAGCTAGTCTTAGGTTGGTACTCGATAGTTTTAGTGGAAGCAGTAGCTACAAAAGTATAGAATAAACGTTATACTATGTGTGAACGTACGACCAATATGCAATATTTTTGTTTTATATCATTTAGCGACTTTAGGTGCCTCTCAATAATATCAAATCCCAAGTATTCTTGGTCTTACATTTTGGGGGCATTTCCAATTCTTTCATTTAGTTAATTTTGTCTGGCCTTTAACTGAACCAATCTTGACCCCTAAAAGTATTCGGACCAATCTTGACGACCCCTAAGAGATGAACCAACCTTAAACATTTTTTTGTTTTCTTTTGGTAGTAACGTAAAAATATAATATTCAACCAAAAAAACAAAAGAAAACTATCTTTAAGTTCTAATCTAAATGACTAGTAAATGCCATCACCAGTATGTCTGTATTACAATTTTTATAAGGGCTTAAAATAAATTTAAGTTAACTATTTGCAAAAATAACATGAGACTCACAAGAGCTGTATACATTATATGTGCTAAATATTAAAAAAAAAATGGTTGACTCTTTACTGATAAGCTATTTATACGTACATAAAAAAAACCAACATTACTATCATAACCTATTACAAATTTAACTTAATTAATGAGAAGGAGTTTAGTTTCCTTGTAAATAAATATACAATGAACGTCTAAATATGTATTTTGAATAAAGTTTTCAAATGTATTGACTAGTTTTAATAAAACTAATGATATCTTGTTTAATATGACCAAAATTTTTATTTTGTGGTAAATCATGTACATTTCTAAGCCAAAGTGTTAAGTATATTGACGATCACATATATAGAGTTTCAAATAAAGTAAAAATAATAATTTTTTTACCTTATACTTGTAATTTATTTTTTGTGTGTATAAAAGCCTAACTCAAACTTATTTTTCACATTAATAAAGTTATAATCTGAATGAATTTAAGAATGTATCTATCTATTAAAGTCAAGGTTAAAAAAGGAAAAAAAATAAGTAAGGCAATATTTTCAATGTCAAAAAAGAATTAAAACACTCAAAACTCTTGCCTAAATTTTATAAGGTTGTAAAAAAAAAATCCTAATTATATTTCTTAAAATACAGTGCAAATGCATCTTCTAAATTTACCAAAATTTATACACCTATTCAATTCTCCCTATAATATTTATTAATTGCCTATTTTATATGCACATGTCTTTGAAACCATAGTTATTTTTTTTCTTTTGTAGTAAGACTAATAGATTGACATTATTATATTAACCCTCTCGACCTCAACTGTTTTGAAACTTCGGCTTTAGCCATGGAGTCTCTAGTTTGTGTTTTTGCTCTCTCAATATTTTATGTGACGCTTGTGTCGTCACATACCGTTTCTAATGTTTCTGAAGGTATTAGACTTGAAGATACCAACAACGATATAGTACCAACAATAGTGGTAGATAAGTATGGTTATGGTAACTTTAAAACGATACAGTCGGCCATCGACTCCGTTCCCTTCGGTAGGAACTACTGGACCAAAATTTACGTTCGACAAGGACTTTACCAGTAAGTACTCTTATAGAATTTTAACATTTTCATTACATATTTTACATACATTGTTAGGGCTGGGTAAAAACACCGAACCCGAATATCCAACCCGGATAAGGTATCCGGGTTGGATATGTCTAAATAACCCTATTGGATTTTATATTGGTAAATCCGTAGGGGTTCGGGTTAAGGTTAGGGTAATACATGTTACCCGAATGGATACCCATAAAACCCAAACAATATATAAATATCTAAAATATTATTAATATTTAACATTACTAGTATTTAGTTATCCAATATTATAATTATAATTTTGAATATATCAATTAGATTTACACCTTAAATACCCAAAATAAGCAAAATATCTCAAATTTATTAGTTACATATGTCAAAATTTAGCTAAACTTGATTAATTTAATCTAATTTTTAAAAGATTTTTTTGGGTACCCGGTAATTTGGATAGTAATCGGGTTCTGAAATTTGTAACCCAAACCCGAAAATACTTAAACCGAAACTGAACCGAAAATCTAAAATTACCCATTGGGTTCTATTTTCCTAAACCCATATAACCCGAACCCAAACGTGGTCTACCCGAACCTGACCCGAAAACCCGAATGCCCAGACCTATACATTGTTATATATCATTTTCATTTCCCCACTTGTGAGATCTCTTGTTCAAATAGTGTGTTGGTTGATGCAGTGAAAAGGTTACAATTCCGAGATATAAGACGAAAATACAATTGGAAGGATATAGATCGTCGCAGACGATAGTTCAGTATAACGATGCAGGGTCCTCCGTTAACAGCGCTACTCTCACAGTGTTAGCTGAGTTCTTCGTCGCGACAAATATAACATTTAAGGTTAGCTAAGCTAATTAAGATTTCTTGCACAATCCTTCTGTTTCTAAACTTTGATATTTTAGAAATTTTCTGTTCTTTCCTTTTTTTTTTCCTTGCAAATTAAGTGATGTCCTTATTTTTGTATGCAAAAGTTATTAAATCTCTTTTCACCCTTTTTATTCTACAGTATATTTATTGTTTGTTGACTTGTGATTAGGTAAATAATATATTTATTTATATATATATAGTATCTATTCAAAAATATAAATTAAATATATTTTTTATTTGTATTGAAAAACCTTAAACATGTATAATGTATCATGTTGAATATATTTTTTTTTTCTTTATTCTGCTGTTTTATTTAGTGAAAAATCACAAATTTGTAAGCAAACATAGTAGCTAATTATACGATTTGTTTTTGGATTTTTCGATCTAGATAGTTAATTGGCTAAAATATTGAACGACTTGTTGCAGAATACTTATAATCAGGAAAAGCCTTTGACACCGTATGGCGAGATAAGAGTGGCTCCAGCAGTTTTGTTAGCAGCAGACAAGGCAGCCTTCTATGGTTGTGTATTTGTAAGTATGCAAGACACACTTGGTGACTTAGTCGGCCGTCACTTCTTCAGACTATGTTACATCAAAGGAGCTATTGATTTTATTTGGGGAGGAGGCCAATCTTTATACCAAGTAATCTCATTTACAGTTCTCTATTCTTTCTAATTAACACACTTCATGAAAAAAAATAAAAAAATAATAGTACATATATTTATACCCCTCGTAAAAAAATTCCCGCCTAGCTAGGTCCGATTACTCCCCGTGTAATTGCTAGGCCCACCTTATCCGTTTCGATTAATGACTAATCCTCTTCTAACCTTTTTTGTCAGTTATTAAACATTTAGATTGAGCATTTGCGATGTTTTACGATAATTTAAGTTCAAAATTTTAATGAATATCGTAAATTTGGTTTTAAAAATATGTTTTCATATATTTACTACAATTCTGAATATTATAGTTTTGTATGTTATACTTTTTTTTCATTAACATAAGTCAAACTATACATGTTATTAATACCATATATCTATTGTTTTATTTATTTAATAAAATAACCTTAAAATTAGTCTCTGACTAATATTCTTTTAATCTTGAATTTTCTTTCTAGGCGCTAGGTCCACCTCGACCGCTCGACTAGTGCCTAGCGACTTTTAAAACATGGATTTATACTATTAAAAATGTGAAAAAATCAATTAATGTAAACACTAAATTACGAGAGTGTATATATGTGCAGAGTTGTACAATAGAGGTAAAGGGAGTAACAACGGCGAGTAATGATGAGGCGGACGGAGGATTGATTGCGGGTTACATAACAGCGCAAGGAAGGGCGAGCGAGCAGGATACAAGTGGGTTTGTGTTTAGGGGATGCAAAATTTTAGGAAGTGGTAAGGCATTCCTAGGAAGAGCTTATGGAAGCCACTCGCGGGTTTTGTTTGTCCATACAAACATGGCTGATGTTATTGTTCCTCAAGGCTGGGATATTTGGACAGATCCAAAACAAGTGTAAGTACCATACCATATGTAAGTCAAAATTGAATTTTGAAACAAGTATATATATGTATGTTTATAGCCAATACTTGGAATTGAAAAATTAATCAGGAGTACGACAACGTTTGGGGAGGTAAATTGCTATGGTCCGGGAGCAAACAAGAAAAGAAGAGTGGCGTGGGAGAAGAAGCTCTCGTATCAAGATGTGGCATACTTTGTAAACCGTACGACCTTTATAAACAAAGAGGGTTGGATAGAGAGTCTTCCTCCACATATATTAACCCTTTCGCCATCGTCTAGTCCAGATGATAATTCATTTGTTTGAACCAAAAAAATGTTATGTTTGCTAAATGTACTAAAATCAGATTGTTTAATATAAAAGTGTTTTAATTCTAAAACTATTTTTATTTTGGGATTTAGATTTATAGCCCCAAGACAGGAATTTTATGATCGTAAATTTAGGTTGATGTTTGGGATTCTACTGTCGTTTCAGTTATAATTTGAGATAAATTTAATGGAAGCAGTTAACGTAGTAAAATAAAATAAAAATACTGACAATTAATAGCTAAAAAAAAGCAATAGTAGTAAGTTCTGTTGAGGGTTCATCTTTGCGACCTTCACAACTAGAACTCGATTCTATCCAATATACTATTGACAATAGTGTTACCTTGTGTAGTAGAGATTGAGTTATATATATATAGTATGTTTTGCTAGTAAAAAAAGGCAATTTAGTTTCATCCATGTCGTCAATCACTCGTGGCTTCAAAAGATTTGCATGATGGACAAGATTAATTAGTTAAAATGAAAAAAGTTTGGTCCATCGAAACTGGTTAGCCGGATCTGGTTCACCGAATCTAGTCATTTGGAATTTTTCCATCGGAGATGCAACACATAATTCCACCGATCAGAACCGATCGACTTTTTTGCCGGAAAAGAGAGAGAGAGAGAGAGAGAGAGAGAGAGAGAGAGAGAGAGAGAGAGAGAGAGAGAGAGAGAGAGAGAGAGAGAGAGAGCAAAGGGCGTAAATATATTTTTATTATGTCTTATGGCAGATATAAATAGGCTAGAGAAAAAGTGGCAGTTCATAAAATATTTCTTATTGTTCATGGCAGAGAATATAATTTTCTCTAAATAAAAACCATCAAATAAGACCCTAACATAATTAAAAATTTAATCTAAAAATTATAAATAAAATCTCTAAACTTAAGTGAGGTCAATAAGAATTACTAGACAAGAAACACTAAATTAAATAAAACTTGATTGATGACACATTCGTCTTAGAGAATTGCTGCATCAAAAAACTCCTCCTATATATCATAATAGGTACATATGTCTTACAAGTTAAGAATTTTAAGGTTAATTTATGACACGAATGACAATTGTTTCATTGTCCAAACCATTTCTATGACAGTTGAAGGAAATAAAAGTGATTAATTTTGGAAAATGGTCAATATGTACAGTACCTCTCTTTTAATATTATTAAGATGTTTCATTCTAGGTTAGGGAAAAATTATCTAATATTATTTACCCACCCCATAAAGCTATGAGAAACCAATAAATGATTCACCAAATGTAACTCATTATCTACTTACAATTAATTCTTTTTCTAGTCTTTTACAAAAAAGTTAATGAGTTTTGTTAAACATGACACAAATTGTCTTATTTTCATGCATATTCAATACTGAAACTATTACAAAATGGTCTTAATTTCATAGAATCAAAAATTAAAAAAACTTAAGTAATTTCAAACTAAATTGAATGGCCATATGACACTGAGAAAACAAATGAAGATTTTATTTTTAAAATATTGCCAAAACTATAATAACAGAAAAACAACTATAATTTGGAAAAAAATTTGCTTAAATACAATTACAAAATTTGGACACAATGAATATAAATATAATAATTAAGGATTTTTTTTTACATATATGTATTAACTCATTTCTTTGTGGAAATTTTGTCTATATATATAAGTCATATATTTATAATATAATGTTCAGTATATGAACATTCTCTTTTTTTCAAAGAAAAAGAAATCTCTTATTTATATAAATTGTATATTTAAGTGTTACGTATATCAAAGAGATTTTACCGTGACAAGATTTTTAAACAATTACCAATTCTTATTTGAAAATTTAACAATGTTGGGATGCTGGTTGAAGCAATCACATGGAAATACAACTACAATAGGTTGCTGGTTAAAGAAGTCCAGAGAAAACATTGAGGACAAGTAGAGTGACTTAAATATCTCTTGGCATTCTACTTTTTTGTATATAAACTTTTTGTGTTTTTAACATTTCTCTTATCATTCTACATTTTTTGTTTGCTCTTCAAATATTATGTAGTGTAATTGTAACAGATGTCGAGTTGAAGATTTTGATGAATTTTGAAGATTGCGCAAAAAAGATCAGAAAAGTTGCTTGCCAAGTCGATGGTAAGAAAATAAGAAATTTTTATTCATAATACATATTTGTGTATATGTTGGTACCAACTTGTTATAATTTTTCAATGTTATTATTAGGAGTAAAATCATGCATAACATATGTGGATGATGAAAAAGTCATAATCAGTGGTGAATTCAATTTGCATAAATTACTGAAGACTCTCAAGAAAAAAACTGGTAAAAAGATAGAAGTTGTGATGAAGACTGAGAAATTGGTTGTAGTTCATGATAAAGAAGATGATGAACCAGAGACTATGGAATCTGATGTAGTTCATAAGGAAGATGATGAACCTGAGACTGAGACACCTGAGGTAGTTCAAAATCAAGATAATAAAGATGAAATAGTTCCACAAAATGATGATAAACTTGAAACAAGGTAAACTCATAATTTTAATTTTAACACTTGCTAACCATATTGTCTTAACTCTTATTAATTTGATGCTATGTAGTATGATGGAAGTGGAATTCGATATACCACTACTCTATGAAGAATATGAGAAATATTTTGAAAAAGTTATTTCCAAATTCGAAGGTATATTTTGAACAAATTTAGATATATATATAGTATGGTAATGTGTGTGATTTATATTGTTTGTAGTGAAAAAAATTTGAATGATGCATGATTAGGTGTTGAAACATATGGAACGGATGTAGAAAATAAAAAGATTGTGGTCATTGGTAACTTTGACAAGGATCGATTGTTGAAAAAACTTGACAAGAAGTCTGCAAGACTTAACCGAAAGATTCAACAAGCGGAAATGATATTTGAAGAGGAACACAAAATAATTCAAGAGTTTTGTGAGAATCTCGACAAGGAGGCTGAAGAACGCAAAATAATTGAAGAGTTTTGTGAGAATCTTGACATGGAGGCTGAAGAACGCAAAATAATTGAAGAGTTTTGTGAGAATCTCGACAAGGAGGCTGAAGAACACAAAATAATTGAAGAGTTTTGTGAGAATCTCGACAAGGAGGCTGAAGAACGCAAAATAATGGCGGAGTTTTGTGAGGAAATCGACAATGGTAGAAGTATATATCTCACTTGACCAAATAGTGATTATGAAAAGGAGATGGCCAAAATATTATTACATGTTTAGTGATAAAAATGCTGATGCATGTTCTAATTCGTAACATAGTCAAATGCGCACCATGAAGAATTTAGTATGCTAATAGATCTTACCCATCATAAGATATTTTAAATGTTTTTTTAACCAAAATAATATATAAACTTGATAAAATAAAATTATGATTTCATTTTAACCTTTTTGATCATTTTTTCTTGGAAAATTTTCAAAAATAAATATTTATAAAATAATTATTATTCTAATTCTCTAATATCATTCATTGATTTATGAATCATATCATAAAATAATTGTATGTATTTTTAAAAGACAAAGTAATATAATTTTTAATTCTATATTCTTGAACTATACACTAATAGTCCAATTGTTCTGATCGGAAATTGGTCTGACCCTAAGTTACTACGATGAATCAAGCCTAAATTAGTTAATGGTTGGATTATGTCAAGGTTTTTTTGGCTAGTGTAGCTATTATTGATGAGACTATGTGGATAAAGATCTCACATACATATGTCCACCTTGAATTTACAATAACTAAGGCTTTGAATGGGGAGACATGAAAAGAGCAGTTGACCTATGCATGTAGATCTCCTGTTACCGAGACACCATTCACCATTTTTTATTTTTTTTAAACAAAACCGAAAAAGCGTAGGCAGTTCATTTATTTTTTGTCTTTTTGTAATAAAGACAGAACATCGGTGGGGGAAGTTGTTCACGCTTCTTTTGATGTGTTTTATCTGTTTTGTATATTTTTATTTTTTTTAATAAGATAATAACTCAAAAAACACCTTATCTTTTTTTTCTATATAATAACTACACTTCACAACACTCACAGCTCACGCTTCTTCTTTCTCTCTCTCTCGTGTTCTAACCTTTTTTTTTTTGCAAAGGTAATTTTTTTTTCTTAAATGACATGCATTTTAATTTTTCTATACACTAACATATGTATTTTATTTTATTACAGAATTCAAAATACAATCCAAACTTCAACTCTACACCTCTTGTTTCTATAATTTCCTGCTGAAAGGTATATATATTTATCCTCTTAAATAAATGTAGTTACATTATATAGTACCTTATAGATCTTCATGGAATGGGATTGTTCGGTATCATATGTCGCAATTCTACAATGGTTCTCCTCCTAGGAACAAACAAGAACTATTTAATCGTTGTCATGCATCACTAAGTTCTGTTATTGAAAGAACATTTGGAGTTTAGAAGAAGAAATGGAGGATTCTTTCTGAGTTTCCTAGATATAACACACATGTTCAAAAAAGAGTGGTGATGGCTACAATGGGACTACATAATTTTATCAGAATTTCAAATTATTTTGATGAAGATTTTGCTGAATTAATGGAGCATACAGATACTAGCAACACAAATTCAGAGAATGACGAAGGTGACATGGAAACTACTGCTATAACTGATGGAGATCAAATGGCAAATATTAGAGAAAATATTGATGATATGGGGCAAATCAAAATACTCCTCATTAGTATATTCTTAGTTTAATTTTTGTTGTATTTGGATATTTGTTTTTAATGTTTTAAGACCTCCAAATATTTAGAAAAAAAGTCTACACTAAGTATTGATTATTTTTTAAAAAAAATTATTGAATTTTATGTGTTTTTATATCATTTACTGTTTAATATTTTATATGCATATATGATATGTACTGTTTGATCTGCTTTTACCATTTAAGCATATAATATAGACTGCACAATCAGCATGATATGCACTTGTTTTGCATGATCTGCATTTGTTCCATATGATCTGCATGATCTGCAACGCTTGATCTGCTTTTACCATTTGAAGCCTTATTCTAACTAATTATGGCAAGGTATATGATTCTTAATCTCATAATTAGTTGGTATCTATGTCCTATCACAGAAAAAGGTAGATATTTCATTTCAATGATATGTTCCAATATTCAAAGAGGACATTTTAATATTTCAAACCCATTCTAGGAATAAGGGAGCTAGCGTTCATGGTTGAAAGACCCCGACTAGACAACCGACATTAAAACGACCCGACCGACCCAGACCCGGACCTCGCACATGACTCAAGGAAAAATATCTCACCGGAACCCCGTAATTCTGACGAGACAACCGACATTAAAATGGCTCATTTATAGACACCAAACGGACAAGGCACTTGACTCCCCTTCCCGAAAAAGCTTCACCAATTCCCGTATCCCAAATAACACCTCATCTTGAAACTTAGTCGTACAACCAACCACCCCTAATCGATCAAGTTACAAGAGAGATGGGCTGGAATACTCCATTTTCCTCTACCCACAGACTTCGTCTCACCAACGATCCGCTGCAACCTACACTAGCCATCCTGTAGCCCAAGAACAACAATTGCGGTTCACTCATTGGCTTTGAACAATAACTCAAACACTCTCGAAAACTCTTGGCATGTTCCTGAACTCGTTGGCCGAACAAACAATGCAACCTTCCACGAAACAGTCTATGGAGAATCTCCATACTAACACTAGGTATTCACAAACTAACCGTTCATTCAACAATACCACCTTTGGAAAAGAAGCCTGTAACACCAGAAAGCTTCCTACCAATTTTCAGGCAGATTGGATTCTGTTTCGCTTACCAAACGTTGGACCAAACAAGTCCGCGCAGTCACTCTGTAGGTGCTAGTGTGGATCGACACCACTATGAGTGAGCCTTTGTAACACCTGTATCTGAAATTTTGGTGGTGTCGACCGACACCAGTTTTGGGTGTCGATCGACACCAACAAAATTGGGTTAGACGGTTTAGTTTTTAAATTGTCGGTTTGACTCAATTTTTGTTTGGGAGCAATCCTAGGTCGACTTAAACTAGAGCAGCCATCTTTATTCTTCACTTTTTGGTGTTTTGTCGCTTTCTAAAAGAGAGAAGAGAGAGTTGTGAGTGAAGGTGGATCCTAAGGTGCTAAGGGGAGGCTTGTTAGAGGTTTCCTTGAGGCTGTTCTTCAGTGTTTTAGCAAGGGATCAGTGGGATTCATGGCTGTGGATGTGAAGAGAGGTTGCTGGAGTGTTCTTCTTCTCTATTTTGTCCATCATTCCAATCAAAATCAGAGGTAAAGTGTGACGTGCAATCATGGCAATGAGGAGGAGGATGATCTAGGGTCTCGGTATATATTTATGATTATATTAATTGTTGTTTGAAACTGATTTAGAGGCATGCTTGGTGACTGGTGTAATTGTGGTTATTAAATGATTGGTTGATTAATATTATGATTAATTGGTCTTGGTTTAATATGTTTCCGCTGTGAATGATGGTTTATTGTTGGGTTAATTCAGTTAGATTAATTAGTAGGTATGAGACTATTAATTAATGATTTTTTTTATAAAAAAACGGGTCGGCTCTTTTCAGCCTTTGTCTCTCCCAATCCACCCCAAATACCCATATCCCTCTACAAACATGAATATGGATCTCATTTCTCCTCCCTTCCAAGAGAGAGATCACCACAACTATCTTCTCCTTCTGTAGGGTAGTAAACGGCTGACGAGAGAACCCTTCACACCAAGAGGATCTGATCCCATTATCTGGTCGAGTGTAGAGTTTCTCCAAACCGCACAAAACCGGAGAACAAATATAACAACCCAACTCCTTGTGGTGTCAAAAGACACCAGCAATATGATCGACACCCGCCATAGCTGTCAATCGACATCCATACCAAAATCTCAAATTCGCACAGTGGTGTAGATAATCTCAGAGATAATTATTATGTATATATAATGTGCCATAGGTTAATAATCCTCGTGAATCTGCCACTGATCCCATGTGCGTAAAGATTCGATGGATCGAAAACCGCAAGGAAATTTTCTCGGTTGAGAAAGTAAAACACACCATTTGAGAAGACAACTTTATTATATTTTCAACATCAAGAAACTGAAACTCAACTTACATTGAAACATAAGACCTCAAAAACATAAGCTATAGACTATAAACATCATGATATAACAACTACACCCCTCAAGTTGATGAACACCTATAACAACTAAAGGAGTAGTTAAAAGGGATCAGCTTTGCGTTCTGCTTATCTCAAGTCTCAAAGTCTCAACTGAACCAAGCTCAGCGTACGCGTCAGCTCCCGGTTTGACAAAAACATAAACACAAAACCGTGTTTGTTTTTTTTTCCGGTTCAATAAAACAATGACGTCACCACTTTTTCATTGAAACATAGACCTCAAAAACGAAAACGAATTGTGTCTATAGTATATGGTTTTTATAACAATTGGCTAATATCAAGACACGTGGGCTGATCGCAACGTTTAAAAGTTTGGTCTTCAATAATTAATAATATGAATCATTTATTTCTGTGTGAAAATTTTAAGACCGCTTCTTTTACAAAGCTTGGTTGATTCAAGAACCATGGCTCTGTTTCAACAGAAGCTATCACTATCCTCAAATTGTTCGCCATTCAATTCACTTCCGAGGATACTTGTCTCCAAGTCTCTTAGTAGTAGAATCGCCTTGACAAGGTCCCGTTCGATTTGCAGAGCTTCGTGGCAAGAGGTTTTGTTCAGCTATTTTTCTTGTCCTCTCATTTTGTAAGTTTTCTCTCTTAACTTTTTCTCATCCTGTTTTTTTAGCTTGCGGGAGTGTTGATTTTCTCGGCAATACCGTTCACTGCGGTTAAAGCAATCGCCAACAGTTCACTAGGAGAATCTCTGCGGCTGAGATTGGAAGAGAGAAAGAAAGAAGCTGTAGAGAGTTCTTCAAGATTCAGAGCTAAAGCTCAGGAAGCTAGAAACGATAGGTATATCGATATTTGTAGATATCTAACCATTATCGTCATATCGTAAGTAAGACAGGATAAATAGAATTTGTGAAAGTACCTTAGGAGATGTTGATTATCTATAACCTTTGTAGTTATTGATAATCTAAATGAAAAATTGCATGGTTAGTTATCTCTTAGTATTTTAGGAGATTGCATGGTCGATAACATCTGTTACATAGCTACTTAGTATGTTAAATCAAAGTTAAGTGAAGTGTCTTGTGACAATGATAGATTCATAAGAAAGTCTTGTGTTTACTATATAACATTGGTCAGAAAATTTCTTGGTTTGTTCTTGTAAGTGTGCAGTAAGTGGTATGGAGAAGAACGTCCCCGTTGGTTTGGTCCAGTCCCATATGAGTATCCTCCATACCTTACAGGAGAATTTCCTGGGGATTATGGATTCGACATTGCAGGACTTGGCAAAGATCGTTCGACCTTTGATAAATACTTCAAGTGAGTCTCCTCTTTTCAAATTTGTTATGGTTTTAGAGCTAAGAGGCTGTCCATGCATCTAGATCTTGATTCCTCTAGCCAACTATGACTGTCCCTCATGCTTACTTGTTTGTTCTTTCTACTAAATCATGTGAGAAACATTCTGAAATTTCACTGAAGTGTACCCTTTTTTTGGTAAATGGTAGTTAAGTCCTACTTCTTGTTTTGCAGCTTTGAAATACTTCATGCTCGTTGGGCCATGCTTGCAGCGTTGGGTGTTATAATCCCAGAAATATTTGATCTCACTGGAGCTTTCCATTTTGCTGAGTCCGTATGGTGGCGAGTCGGATACTCGAAGCTTCAGGTTTTGTTTAGTAATGAGCTCTCTTTTTTCAAACATCTTTCACCATCTAGTCAGTAGCATGACCGAGGACACGCCTCTGTTTTTCGCCAGGGAGAAACATTGGACTACCTAGGCATTCCAGGGCTGCACTTAGCGGGAAGCCAAGGTGTCATTGTTATCGCTATTTGTCAAGTACTCTTGATGGTACTACACTTAAAGACATCAAATACAACATTTGCTTCATTTCAAATTTTATACATTCCCTTAACAAAAAAACCTTTACCACGCCACGTACAGGTAGGACCGGAATATGCAAGATATTGTGGTATAGAGGCCTTAGAGCCACTGGGAATATACTTGCCAGGAGACATAAACTATCCCGGAGGGACGCTTTTTGATCCCTTGAACCTCTCGGAGGACCCGGTAGCTTTTGAAGATCTTAAGGTTAAAGAGATTAAAAACGGGAGACTAGCTATGGTCGCGTGGCTTGGATTCTATGCACAGGCAGCTTTCACTGGAAAAGGTCCTATACAAAATCTTGTTGACCATGTCTCTGATCCATTACATAACAATCTGCTCGCTATGCTTCAGATATAAAGAGACTATGCATGTACATACAATATGTCAAAAAGACAATGCGTGAATATGTTTAATACCATAAGTTACCCAACTAACAACTCTTATTAAGTAGAAGGACATTAATGGTTATATCATACTATAAGATATATCAAAATTATGTGAATTACTCTTTAAAACACAGACTTGGGTAAGACCTGAACATATTATTTATAAAAGTATCTACTTGTATAGTTTTCATTGAAATAGAAGAAAAATAAATATTGATTAACCCTCACAACACAAATCTGTTGGTAAAAAGCTTATCCAACCAGCTCTGTTTCCAAATCTTACATCATATAACATTTAAATGAAGCTATAACACTTACTCTAGAGATGTGTCCAGATCAAACTGATGTAAACTCCACACATGCATTGCCAATACTCTTTTCAACTATCTCAGTAGCGTTCTTGGGAGGCTCAATCCAAATGTCATCAGAAGAAAGCTGGTTTCCTAAATCGAGATTATGTTCACGCGGGTGGTATCTCCTTTCATGAACCGAATACGCCACACAACATTTCTCATCGTAGCTAGGGAAGTAGATGCTATTCCTTAACATCCCCTCGTTGACATAAGTTGTCGATTCACATGACTTACTGCTCGCAAAAATAGTTAAACTACCAAGTGTATCATTTGTATTCCATGTACCTCTTGCAAGATCGAGCTGAAACACCAAAGGATCCGTGTTTTCATATGTATGTACTAAAAATATCTCTCCTTTATAACCAACCATGTACCTTCCTCCATCCGACCTCTCCTCACTGGGACATCTAGGTGGTTGTATATGAAGAACATTCCATGTGCGTAAAGATGGATCGAAAACCGCAAGGAATTTTTTGCGGTTAAGACAGTAAAACACACCATTTGAGAAGACCACTTTATTATATTCAGCATCAAGAAATTGAGACTCAACCTGCATTGAACTCCAAGTCGTTTGACCGGGACTCCAAGTGCGGATAGTGACATGGCCAGGATCATAATCCTTCATAGTAAACACCACGCACTCACTTGAAGTAGGAGCACAAGAGAAACCCACTAACTGATAATAATTCCACAACTGAAGATCAGGCAAGACCACAAGATCCATAGTAAATGGATTGAACAAGACAAACTCTGATGAAAAGTCTTTGCTCATAAGTAACCAACCATCTTTAGAATAATGAACAATAGAGCCAACTAATGATTTAGGCAGCTCCATTGCATACTTCTTGCAGTTTGATGGATCGAAAAACTCGTAAGTGTTCTTGGTTTGAGAAAAGCTCATGAGCCAAGGAGACTGGTCAATGACCCTAACAGAAACTGCAGCTTCATACCAAGATTTGCATACAACAGAAGCTCTTACGTTATCTTTAATTTCAAGATAAGTCATTACTGAGCTTAGAAGCTCCAAAGGAAGGTCTCTCCAAATTTGACAGTCCATGTTCTTGGACTCTTCATTGTTTTTCACGCTCATGTTAGATCTGAGAACTGTACATAAACAAAGATTGAAAATTTAATAAGAAGATTATGAAAAGACCAAAACTTTGATTTGATTTTGGTTTCATATCACGAAAAGCCACCATTGATTTCAAGAATCTGGATTTGGGTATCATCAGATTCAATAAAAAGACAGAACAACGAAACTTGGTTTTCTAAATTGCCACTGATGATGATTTGAAGAGTAGATGGTAACAAAGGTTTCGTTTTTATGATCAGATTCAATAAAAAAAAACAGAACATCGAAAATTGAAATCAAAAGACACAGAGGAGAGCAAAAGAAAACTTACAATCACAAGTTTACTGGTTCTGCCTGGAATTGTTGTGTTGGTGACGAGCTATACTTAGGCCATGAATGTTTCAAAGATTTTGAGTGATTTTGGATTATAGTTTTTGGTTTTTGGATCTTTTAGATTTTGATTTATGATTTACAGATTTTGTAATTAAAAAAAAAAATGAAAAATAGAAAAATGTCAATTCACCTTAGATAAATAAAAACCACATTTTGTGGTTTTTGGATTTTAAGAAGAAATTAGCAAAATCTTTTAAAATATAGATTTCCTGAAAGCTAATAAAATGGATTTTGGATAATTTAAATCCAAAACTGATTTAAAAGCATATGCCATTCAAGGCCTTAGGTTAATCAGATGGAACTGCACATATATAATAAAATATGAAATATAAATTAAAATTAATTAAATAAAACATTTTAGGGCCTTGACAAATATTATGGGGTAAATCCTAGTTTAAATTTATTATTTTAGACACAATAGACCCAAGCTTTTGATATGCAAAGTAAAAAGGGGGAATTTCAAAAATACCCCTTTTCATATACCTCTTTTTAAAAATACCTCCTTTTCAAACATTATCAAAAAACCCACTAAAAATGTTGAAATTTATTCAAATATGTGTGTAAGCTTATAAATATATACACAAATTACCTTTATATGTGTCTAAAATTTTATACACCTTTCATAAATAGCGTAAAAATAATTTATAAAAACCTTATAAAAACCTTATAAAAACCGTATAAACCCTTTTAAAAACCTTTTAAAAACCTTATAAAACTTATAAAACGATTTAAAACTATTTAAAACATTTTAAAATATTTGTATCGAATCTCACAGTAGTAGTTATTATATAGAAGTACCTTATAAACTATATAAAACTTTATAAATTTTTATATTTAAAAAGGGGTATTTTTGAAAATGGATAGATAAAGGGGGTATTTTTAAAAAGGGGTACACCAAAAGGGGTATTTTTCAAAAATTCTCAAGTAAAAAAACAAAAATTGGTCGACCAATAAAACAATAAAAAAATGTTGTGCCCTTGCGTTATGACTTATGAGCTTTAGTTCTGGGACGAGCATGACTAGAAATATGAAACTAGGTTTAAGATTTGATCTTTTACGACCTTGTTTGGAGTTTTAAAAAAAAGTCTCGAAAATACATGATTTATTTAATAGTTGTCAAAATATACATGAATTTGTTATTGATCTTATCATTTTTTTTATGGCAGATGTATGGATTTTCTGCAAAAGAGAACTTCGACATCGCATGCCATCAAACTCCCATGCGACAGCAAGGTGTATGCATGCGATGCAAATCGCAGCCTCTACCTGAGGAATCTCTCACTTGCAGCACATGCGTTACATCCAACTCTCATGCGAGGGTGTAAAGTCAAAGGCTGGAGCGTAACGCATGTCCGCAAGTGGCAGATTCTTCAGGCCGAGGCTGGGATTAGTATAACATGCATACACCTTTACGTCGTATGGGAGTTGGATGTCACCAGAATAAGCCATATCCGATGAATCTGATGATGAAAAGCCAAAAAAAAAAGAGAAATAGAGAGAAGGAGAGATAAGGTGAGTAGGAGAAATCGTCGATGGTTTCAGTGGTGAGTGAGTAGAGAAGATTTGTGAACGGCGACAGAGAGAATAGAGTGAGAAGATGTTAAGTACACGTTAGGGTTTGTTATTTTTGTTAATGGATCAATATATGGCCCATTAACTAATTTTCTGGCCCAAACTTTAATTTTTGTAAACCAATACTTTGTGTGACAGGCCCAAATTATATTGTGAAATTAATACAATAATAATAATTTTACAAATCAATGCTTTTACAAAATTGAAATTGTAGTTTAAGTTTACTGAAAATGTGTGGGATTAGGATTGAAAATTAAGATTATAAAAGTTTTAGAAAACTATGTTTTCTAACATTGAAAATTAAATATAATTTTACTGTAAATGTGTGGGATTATGAATGAAAATTAAGATTAAAATATTTTTAGAAAACAATGGTTTTTAATATTGAAATTTTAATATAATTTTACTGTAAATGTGTAGGATTAAACCAAAAATTATGATTATAAAAGAAAACTTGATAATTTCCTTCAAATTTTATAATTATTATTATCAAAAATTATGATTATCAAAGAAAAGTTAACCTTCTTCCGTTTTCCTACGCTGTTACCTACAAACTTATACCAAAAGGTATTTGGTAGGAGAAATTCCTACGCTATTCTTCTCCGTTTCTTTTTAGATTTTCTACGGAATAATATTTATATGAATTTGGTAGGAAAGTTTCCTTCCACTTTCTGACCCGCTTTTTCATAGTAAATTTCCTTCTTCTTTCCTGGCCGTTGCTGTTTTCGTAGGAAATCACCATGTATTCTTTTCCTACTTGTATATAATATATACCATTGAATATGGACTAATTATGTATTTGAACATTTGAGATAGTGTAAAATACACAGCATTTTATTACTTTAAAAATTTTAAAAATAAATAGGCATTTTAAAAATTATGTTTTTGATCATTTTACAAAGGTTTTATTATACTCTGAATTTTGCAAAGGTTTTATGTCTTTGTGATAGTCCCACTATATGTTACGAGCTATATACATGTTGTTTTTGTGGCATATTTTATCCATTTTGAAATATGAGATTAATGATATTTTCATTTAGAAATAATATTGGTTAAAACTTGTTTCGTCTTACAACCTGTCCCGTCTTACAATCCTTCGCGTCATATAATATGTATATATTAGTTTAAAATATTTATAAGTTAAAATATATCAACTGTAATATTTTAATCTTCTTAAAGTATTATCGTAAGGTCATATTCTAGGTCATAAAGCTAGAACAAGCAATAAATACAATCCATATGAAGAACTTTAACGAAATAAGCCAAACAAATCAATTCAATCTAAGATTTCATCATAAACCTTTCAGAAACCCTAAACCTAACAAGGAGTCTACTCAGATTTCATTAAGAAATCAACAGATGAAGTATAGGAGTTTTGAATCTTTTATGAAGTAGTTTCTAATTCTTACTATCACAGCTCTCTACAAATATCTCTCTCAAAAAAGCTTTTGTCTCATCAAAAACCTAAAAACTCAATATATATGTCAAAGACATTTTTTGGGATTGATTGTAAATAAGGAGATTTTCTGGGGTAAATATGCAAATCTTCAAAACTTAAGAGACATGCAAAATTCAATTGCAATCAGATATTTGGTGTCGCCCGACACCAGGGGTAGTGTCGATCGACACTCACACCAAATATGCTCTTCGAATACGTTTCTTCGGCACATCTTCTCGATCCATAAGCTCCCAAGTGCTCCAAAATATCCAAATAAATCTAAATGTACATAAATCTGCCAAAACTCTGAAAGACTCGGGAAGCACTATAAAGACTCTATTAATAAGACTTATACCATGACCAAAAACCTATAAAAACCATGATATATATATCAATTACCAACGTAATAAACTATATTTTTGAAAAAAACAATGAAATAAAGAAAATTTGAGATAATATTTTACGAAAATGATTCTGAGTTTATCAATAAAAATTTGGATGCAATAAATTTCTAAGATAAAAAATTGATTAATTGCTTTGTTTATACTTGAGTCACCTTTAGTAAAATCTATTTGTGCAATTATATAAGCAATATCATCATGTTTTGTTTCATATCTATTTGCTTTGTTCTAATTGCTATGTGTGAGTAGTTCTTCAATTGGGTTTTAGGGTTCTAAGTAGAAGATTCAATAAATTTGTGAATGGATTGCTTCAATGGATTCTTGTTTTATGGATTCTTTAATTTTCATGTTCTTAATGCTATAATAGGATTGATCACCCTGTTTTAGAATTTAGGCTTTTATTTGTTTCAGAGATGTTCGATGAAATGCATGAATGAGTGTTAATTGAGCATTGTATTTCTAGCCTGCGAGGGTTGATGTTAGAATGCCTTGCGAATAGAATGAACTTGTTTGATAATGCGAATTTAGCTAGGAAATTACAAAGGATAGTTTAGTAATTGAATAGTTGAATTTAGTGATTAATGTTTTGAGAGAGAATTAGTCTAAACTTGTGTTCATGTTGAAGAACGGTTTTTCATGTTTGAATTCCTTATTGCTTTTATTTGTTATTCATTGATTCTCTGAAAATACCATGCTGTCCAATTTTTTTAATTGATAAGTTTAATCTCTTTTACTTGCATTTTTATTTACAAAACTGAAAACCAAACAACAAATATTTTCCGCTTTAGCTAAGAACGAGTCTCGCAAGTCTTTAGTATAACCTTGCTCCTTGTGATCGATCCCGCATATACTTTACTTTCGGTTAAGTTATCGGATTAAATACTCGAGTAATCACCATATTTGATGAATCTAATGATGATAAGGTAAAGCAAATGAAAAGTGAGGAGCGAGTCTTTGAAAAGAGAGATAAGAGATTCAAATAAGGAATGATATTTTTTTTAGTCAAAAAGAAAACAAAGGTGTCCTACTATACAATATTTACTACTCAATATGGACTAATTAATTATGTATTTCATCATTTAAGATGGCAAATAAGGAAGGATAATTCTTTTAGTCAAAAAGTAAAAAACTGTTGTCCTACTTGTATATAATATATGCCATTGAATATGAACTAATTATGTATTTGAACATTTGAGATAGTGTAAAATAAACATTTTATTACTTTAAAAAATTAAAAAATAAATAGGCATTTTAAAATTATGTTTTTGACCATTTTACAAAGGTTTAATTATACTCTGATTTTTTTTAACCCGTTCTCATTGATCATTTTGCAAAGGTTTTATTATACTCTGAATTTCGCAAAGGTTTTATGTCTCTGTGATAGTCCCACCATATGTTACGAGCTATATACTGTACATGTTGTTTTTGTGGCATACAAAACTTATCCTCTAATTAATAAAACAATTCTTAAAAAAGTCTTAAAATTCACAAGAGTGATAGGTAAACCCTTTCTTGGTTTTTCTACTCTAAATGATTTAAAAGGATACAAATTTGATAATTTGATAATTCCATAATTGTTGAAGACGATTAATTACTTTTGGGCGACAATAACCGTAACCGTGACAACTTCTTTGTCACCTTCATCAGCGACGACTT